CATGACTTGCATCAGTTTCAGTTCCCTCATAGTATACGGTTTGGCACTACACAAAATTAGCAAACTTGTTCAAACTCTTTTTTGTTAACTGTATATGAATAGCAACCAGAGCTCCAAAGGCCATCTTACCTGGCGGGGCTATCAAGGGCATTTGGGAACAAACGAGCGCCGGTAAGGCGAGGATCCCGGGATAGACTCATAATTGCTCTGGTGATACTTGGGACAGCGCCTATTGGGCTGTTGAAGTTTTATGCGCTGCGGATAGTCATGAAAGAGGCCTGTTGAAGGTGGGTGGACGTTGAGTTCTTAAGCAAATCGTATTAATGCCTCGCATGATGTGAGAACTGTCAATGGAGTGTCTGCCTAATGCATTCCCATCTCAAGTTAGGGCCAACGTTGGCATTGACTGCTTCTATTGGGTTCGACATGGGAAGAACTGTTTGATGAAGCGAAGAGCCGATTGACGAGCTAAGTAATTGGCTGGTTTGCGTGGACTCAATCATCAGTTATTCGCTAGGCACAGTGCCCCAAGCAGGCATCTCCAGGCTCCAGCTGTTAGGTTTCAATTTGACCCGATTCGTATCCATCAATCCACATACAGATTTCAGGAAATCATGTTTCTTTAGCTGACTTGATAGCCAAGAGCATGGAGCGGCGGCTAAACGGAGGTGAAAGTGCAAAGGCCATCTTTCAAGTGCAGTCTTACAATTGAAGCCTAGTCATGGGTAGCTGCTGAGTGGGAGGTTGAGTTTGGGAGCATGGCAGTTGGCTGGATTGAGTTTGTCTGTCGCCATGAGCATTCCAACTGCAGCTCAACAACTCCAGAAGTCTTGAATGAACTAATAACTAGCTGACCACTTTCAAATGAGCTGACCCTTCTCTCACTCCTTGCTGTTTCTAACTGCAGTTTAGTACTCTCCACCTACAAAAGATACTTGCCCTGCATGGGGCACCTCTTTTGATGATAATATTCCGTTGAAGAACTCCCGCGAGCCAGGAGGGAGTGAGGATTGCCAGCGGACTCAACATCAAGCATCCGAAGCGTTAGGCTTCCAAAATAGTGGTTCCAATGTTCCTGGATAACTAGATACCAAGATTTCACATAAGCAGCCAAGGATAAATCACTGAAGACAAACAAAACGCCCTCAGGCAATCCAATTCCCGCTGTTCCTGGGGCCCAAACAGCTGCAGGCATGGCGCAGGGAGACATCATTCCTTGGGTGTACGATTTTGGGCTATGGATTTTTGCACTTTGCCTCAGTCTCTTCTTCCGCGAGGTTCATCCCCGGGCGACATGGCGGGTTCCCAAGCGCGGTCCCGTAATCATCGTGGCGGCACCCCACGCGAACCAATTCGTCGATTCCCTCCTGTTGATGCGCATTGTGAAAAACTATACCAACCGCCGGATATCTTTCCTTATCGCGGAAAAATCCATGAGGGAGCCCTACATTGGTATCATGGCGCGCCCCATGGGAGCATTGCCGGTGGTACGGGCGATGGACCATGTCAAGCGAGCCGATGGCCAAATCTATCTTCCTGACCCAGAGAATGACCCAACTCTTGTTCGTGGCAAAGGGACGGATTTCACAAACCCGCTATTCATGAAGGGCGGCTCAATAATCCCCCTTCCGATAGGGAAAAATGGGCCGGAACAGCAGAATATCGAGGAGATACTTGGACCTGAGGAATTGCGGCTCCGAAAGCCGTTCAAACAATTCAAGCCTGACCATCCACTGTACGAACGCTTGCGGACGGGCACCGAATTCAAGGTTGCGCCGCATATTGATCAAGGCAAAATGTTTGATGCTGTTTACCGCGACCTCTGTGCTGGAGCTTGCATTGGCATCTTCCCCGAAGGTGGAAGTCATGATCGCCCCAGTTTACTCCCTTTGAAGGCCGGCGCCGCCATTATTGCGTTGGGCACCCTGGCGCGGGATCCGAACTGTGGTCTTTCCATCATGCCATGTGGCCTGAACTACTTCCATCCACACAAGTTCCGTTCGCGCGCTGTCATCGAGTTTGGCAACCCTATCCAGATTCATCCCGATCAGGTTGAAGCTTTCAAAGCTGGAGGTGATTCCAAACGTAACGCTGTGGGCTCGTTGCTTGAGACAATTCAAGATGCGCTCGCAGCCGTCACGCAGCAGGCGCCAGATTACGAGACAATGATGCTCATCGAGTCCACGAGAAGATTATATAAACCCCTACGGATGAAGCTTCCCCTGCCTGTGGTCATTGAGCTAAATCGACGGCTTCTCAAGGGCTATACCCAGTTTAAAGACGAACCTCAAGTGCTCCAGTTGAAGAAGGCCGTGTCTCACTACAACCGACAGCTGAACGCTCTGGGAATTAGAGATCATCAGGTCGAATGGGGTGATGCCAGGAGTCGGCCACGGTGGTTGGTTCTGATCACTCTGTTGTATCGCATTGGAGAGCTGTTCACTTTGGCTGTGGGGACTTTGCCGTCTCTCTGCATGTTCTGGCCGGTTTTTGTCACTTCAAAGGTCATTTCTATCAAGAAGCAGCGCAAGGCACTCGCTGCATCTGTTGTTAAACTGCAGGGCCGCGATGTCGTTGCGACTTGGAAAATGCTTGTGGCGATGGTACTGGCACCAGCACTTTACACCTGGTATTCGGTTATAGTGACACTCTGGCTACGCTACTGTCGTCATGACGGCTATTATTCTTCAATCGTTCCATGGTGGATGAACGCAAGGGTGTACATCCCCGATTTCATTCCTCTGTGGATCTTTTATATTTTCTTCTTTGGGCTCATGATTTTCGTGTCTTTTGCTGGTCTCCGCATTGGTGAGATCGGCATTGACGTCATGAAATCTCTGCCGCCGCTTTTCGTTGCGTTGAACCCATTGTCGATTAATTCGTTGGCCAGAATCCGAGCTGAACGCCAGGCGGTATCAGCGCAGGTGGTGGAGGTGATCAATCTGTTTGGGCCAGAGATATTCCCCAACTTTGAGTCCGAGAAACTGGTCGACTACGGGCAGGGCCACGATGATGCCTATTGGTCGCAACTGAAGACCGTGGCGCCTAGCGAGTCTGAGTATGGAGGAGAGAGTCGAAGTCGCAACAGTCGAAGTAGCTCGACGAGTAGCAGTTTTCCTCAGTATGATGGCCTTTTAAAGCCTCTGACTCCCATGGAATCGAGGGACGACACAGGTGAGTTGAACAAACGGATCAGAGATGCCATGCAGGAGAGGGGTCGAAAACGCTTCGAATCTGAATGCATGGCGGACGAGGATGAATCGTCGGAAGACATTTCTGGTGGTAGCGGAGCGGGCGCAGGAGCCGCGGATAAGAAGACGAATTAACGATTTGGAATGTTTATTGACGGCCATTCTACGTAACGCAACAGAAGACGAACTTGCATCCATAGACGGGGCTGGCTATGTTTCTACATTATTTCCTAGATGTACATGCATACTTAGATACGAACTATATTCCAAATACACGGTCGTGTACTTTCCTGACCCTTCATGAGTTACCAACTCAATATGAAGAAACCATCCGTCGAGGCATGTATGGATATATGTCCATACATTTGATCTGAGTCCAAGTTCACATGCAACCCGCACGTTTGACCTGAACACAGCTCTTGAGCCAAGTTGTACAATACGGAGTACACACACGCGGATTTAGGCCGGGGGCGAGACACCACCAGATGCTCCAAAAAAACCGGTTAATTCTGCAAAGGCTAAGCAGTGACACCCCAGCCCTATCATCTCGTAAGAAAAAAGTAGCAGACGTGTCACTGCATGAATGCGGCCCAGCCATCACCGATTTTCCCTGGCCTGTAACCGTCGCACAGGGTTTGGGGGGGGAATGGCCGATGTCACCGGCTTCCTCCGTGTTTCCAAGCACCGGAGATGCAGCGCTGCGGTGGCTGGAGCGGTCGTGGACCCGGCGAGGCCATTGGCTGGAGCTGTTAGGTAAGCGGGCTAGTGGAGATCGCTGCTGTTTGGGCGGTTTGGTTTAGGGCGGTGGCGGTGGATTTGATTGGCGGGCGGATGGGATGTTTGCACTGTTTGGCCACCGCGTCGACAGAGCTTTCTGTTTCTCTGGCTGACTGAACTCGGGAGGGGGCGGCGCAGCGCATTTACACCGCGAGAGAAAGCCTGGAGAGCTGGAAGAACACACTCGTCACTGAATCTGGAGCCTCTTTTCCATCAGTGAGTTCCTTTTGGTTGAAGAGCGGCTAAGCTGTTGTCGTCTAGGTAAGCTGTGACATTCCCCAGAGTGACTGCTATGAGCTGCAAGAGACGTCACTTTGACGTTGGAATCAATTGCTGGCCTCAAGAGAAACGAAGCAACAGCTGGAGCCCATCACTGACGAGAAAGTAACGTGAAGCCTGTCGTTTGCCTGGAGATAAAGTTGAGTGCAAGTGAATCTCTTCTGCCTGTTTTCATCAAGTAAGTTCGAGCTTCAAAAGCTTCCTCTTTTCTTTGCTTTCTGTTCCCTCTTCCTTACAACATCTCTCTACAAAAACATCAAGTCAATCTACATTTTGTCCCCCCAGCAAGAGCCTCTTCCACTGAACCCATTCTCCTTGCCCCAGTGTCCGCCCGTCGGTCCCAGTACTTGTGTGCAGGTTCTCTAAAGTGACTACTTGGAACTAGCAAACACAAAAAGCAGAGGTGAGGAAACCGCCCTTTGATTCTTTGACCTAGAGCCATCATCTTCCTTTTTCCCTGGCTTAAAAAGCTGCAAATCCCCTGCTGCTCAGGCTGTTTCTTTCTACATCCTTCCTGTCTGCTCTGTTTCGCTCTGATGCGCGCTTCGCTCCCATCTTCACATTCGATCCCATATCTGACTGCTTGGTTAGTCTCGGCGTCACATCATCTGCTGACTTTCGCGTCACTTGTACTTCGATCTGAACTCTTATCAGATATAAATAACAATCCATCCAGCTGACAGTGTGCAAAGAATCAACAGTTCAGATCGCTATCTTCTGAACATCTGTGGTCGTAAGTTGACTCCAATTAAGAAAAAGCCTTGTTTCAATCCCCGAATCGCCCCGAAACAGACGTCAGTTCCTGTCGAACCCCATTTATTAGCCCGTAACGTCGAGGCTAACCACTACTTTCGCCTCCCCCACCGAAATCCCTTACCCGGTGCTTCGACTTGTACCCTTGTTGCTCTTCCAAATCCATGCCTAAAATTTCTTCTGCATTTACCAAAGTTGTTGCAAAGTTACCAGTGTTTGAGTTTTATTCGTGTTCGCTGAATTTCCCTCGTCTTTTGCTACAGTCGCCACCCCAATCTCTCACCGCGCGATTCGACCACGCTAGACACACCTCGACGACTAACGGCCTAGTTATACACGTGGAAAGGGCATTGTCTCGGCCCCTCTGGAGAGAGAGAAGCTAGCTCTATTTGGAGCAAGTTTCTGGATGGGAAGCAGCCATGGCTGAGAACGGCGGAGTGAACCCTCATGCCCATGCTGACCTGTTGCGACAGGCGATGCTACAGAAGTGAGTCACAACCAATCTCCTTTCGATTGTCGTTGATGAGTTCGATGAACTTCCCTTCTGTCCGTGACGTTGGATCGTTGTTGGGGCGTTCACTGGCTTTGTTACCCTGAGGTACCCCCCTCACCATTCGTCGACAGTCTGAAATCGTGAGATCTGAGCGAATCATGACCCTGCTAGGCTTGGCTTTCTATTATGAGTTCTATGATTAGCTGTCGTGTTTCTTGTGCGGCTGTTCAATCCTCTGTCTTCATCCAAAGCTCTTGGGCAACGTTCAGCCGACTTTGTTTGCGGCTGTGTGCAACGGTGGCGTTGCTGCTCTTGACACGACCCTCAATTACATTCTCCCTCTAGAAGCCGATACGAAGTCACAATCCCTGAGATGCCGGAGACTCGAAAACTCGCAATGATGGCTAACGTTTGTGGGATGAACAGTTCTCTTCACCATGACGACGATGCGCAAGACCAAATTGGTTCGATGAGCACAACACCTTCCGGTATCGCGACGCCGCAACCTGATCTTGCCGATAAACGTCTCCCGGGTATAATGCATAGCTTCTTTACACAGGTTGGTCCTAATTCTGATTATGCTTCAGGTGTTGAGAATCAGGGAGCTGCTTCTACGGTCTCTCCAGATCCCGAAAGACTCGGGTCTCAGGCGCACCCTCCGCTTGATGGGAAGCAAAATATATCAGAAAAAATATCCTCGTTGTCTGAGTCGACGGCCATGTTGCAGCTTGGTCAGGACTCGAGGAGCGGTGCAAGTCTGCCACCTGAGCCAAGACTCGGTTCTTTTGAAGAGATACGGCCTTCAGATTTTAACCCTTTGCCTACACCTCCCCATTCCTCTTCATCCTTTTGTTCCATTGTGCAGAAAGACGGAGAAGAAGCAGCCAATGGGGCGGCTGCGGCCGACAGGGGAATGACTTCCATTTATCAAGCTTTGAAGAATTTGATCTTACCGAAAACCGCTGTGAAGCTCAGACGACACACTTCCTATCCTGTTTCCAGTATCACTCATGATTCAGTTCATGCCTCTCATTTCTCCAAGCCTTGTCTCCCTGATTCTTCAACTCCTATGGCGTCTCCTGATAATTCTCAAAATATTTCCAAGTCTTCTGAAGAACTGGTAAAGCTGACTGACAACGCGGCTACGAATCCGCGTATAAAGAATACGCCCCCGCTTACCCCACGAGCGATGTCGAACGAGGTCCATCCAACCGACAAAAGATCCGCGCATTCATTGGCCAGCTCGCCAGTCCGCAGCCAGCCTGAAGCCCGTCCAAGCGATCGTGGTTCCGTGACCCCGACCGGATCGTCGTCTTCTCAACAGGGAACTCTGTCAGAGGCACATGGCCTTCCAGTTACGGCTTTAAAGGGAAAATTGTCTGTCAAGATCTCGGAAGGACGAGGCCTGCGCCCAAGTTACGACCCATACGTTGTCTGCGTATTCGAATGGAACGAATACATTTCCAAGGGTGTTCACTCCGAACAACCACAGCAGAATGAGCCCAGAAATCGAAATCAGCTTGAAGCGTTAGGTTCTATGCCGATTCAGCGGTCTAACAGTGACTCCGGGCGTCCGATGGCCATCCCGATGAAAAGCAGACAGAGCAGCCAGAATAGTGTGATGGATGGATACAATTACAGGGCAAACACTCAGGTTACAGATCCTCAGTGGAATCATGAAGCCGTTTTGTATGTGGGATGATTTGCACATTTCGACTACTTCATTCTCTTGTGCAACTTGCTGACGTTTTGCTAGTGATGTTCTTGGTGTTGAATCGGAAATTGATGTCTCTGTTTATGACCGTTCCAATCAGGAAGCTTTCCTAGGCCATGTCAAACTACAATTGAACTTGAGGGAAGACAAAAAGTCTCTTGCTGGGTGGTTTCCTCTTGAGGCACGCGAAGGTGACAGCCATGTGTCTGGCGAAATCTACTTGCAGATGTTTTTTCAAAAAACAGATCGGAAACAGGTTGGCCCGAACGACTTCCAGATTCTTAAACTTATTGGGAAAGGCACCTTTGGGCAAGTGTATCAAGTTAGGAAGAAGGATACACAGCGTATCTATGCGATGAAAGTTCTTTCAAAGAAGGTTATTATCCAGAAAAAGGAAGTAGCACATACGCTAGGCGAGAGAAACATCCTCGTCCGCACTGCCACCACCGACTCGCCGTTCATTGTTGGTTTGAAATTTTCATTCCAAACGCCCTCCGATTTATATCTAGTGACCGACTATATGTCTGGGGGAGAGCTATTCTGGCACTTACAGAAGGAAGGCAGATTCCAGGAACCCAGAGCCAAGTTCTACATCGCGGAGTTGATCCTTGCGCTTCAGCATCTGCACCAGCATGACATCGTTTACCGCGACCTAAAGCCGGAAAACATTTTACTTGACGCTAACGGACACATTGCGCTCTGTGACTTTGGTTTATCGAAAGCCAACCTGACGCAGAATGACACCACCAACACGTTTTGTGGAACCACCGAGTATCTTGCCCCAGAGGTCCTTCTCGACGAACTAGGTTACACGAAAATGGTGGATTTCTGGTCTTTGGGTGTTTTAGTGTTTGAAATGTGCTGCGGGTGGAGCCCATTCTACGCGGACGATACACAGCAGATGTACAAGAACATCGCCTTCGGAAAAGTTCGCTTCCCAAGAGACGCCCTAAGTGCGGAAGGCCGGAACTTCGTGAAGGGATTACTTAACCGAAATCCAAAACATCGACTTGGCGCCAAGAACGATGCTCGAGAACTGATGGCCCACCCGTTTTTCGACGACATCGACTGGGATGCGATGAACCGAAAGAACGTCATTCCCCCTTTCAAGCCGAAGCTCAAGTCTGTGTCGGATACCTCCTATTTCGACCCGGAGTTCACCACTGCGCTTGACATTTCTGCCTCGTTGAATGCGCGGGCTGCGGCCCTTGCGGCAGGCGCTGCAACCGAGTCGACACCTCTGTCTCCAGGAATGCAGGCCAATTTCAAAGGATTCACGTTTGTCAATGAAAGTACCATGGAGCAGAACATGAGGGATCTTCATCACGACTCCATGGATGAGGACTTTAGGGAAGATGACTCGTGGGTTAACCGGGCTCGATCTACAGATAGCATGGAGTTCGAACATCGGATGAGCGGCGTTACGAGAAACCACGACGAGGGCGGGATTTTCAGCGACGACTACCACTTTGAGATGTGAAGCACGCCCATGAGATATCCCATTTACAGCCTGCATTTTTGCTCCAATTTACATGATGTACATGACTGGGGAGAGGGATCTGATTTCGATGTTCTGCCTTGTGCTTATTGTCCTTTTCCAAATCTTTTTCGGAGGAGCCGTATCACGGTACTTGAACCAAAAAAAAAAGTCTATCAGGTGTTGCGTGTTTTTTTGCACCTTCTCGCTGGATGCATGCGCGCGTGTTGCGTTGCCGGAGAGAATTTTCACCATCACAATCCACATCATCCATAGCGCGTTTTATTCTTTGCAACAATGCATTGGATCTGACCATGGCTCTATTGAAAAGTTGGCGAGCTACTGCTAACTGACATGATCTTTTACTGAATATCCCACAGAGATCAGGGAAATCAATACCCTATATGCAGTTTGTTTTGTCTCCAAGCCACCACGCCTCAGTTTCAGTGGGTATTTTGCTTATTGTTCCTCACACGTCTCCTTATCTACTTGCGACATGGGTGTTTCTTGTGATCTTTCTTCCCAGTTTTGCTTCGGTCTGGTCTTCCTTTTTTGTTTTCTAGCGACGACATATGCATGAAATGATGTGGGACCTGTGGCATCAGTCAGCCCAGGCAATGCTTTTATGAGGTCTTTTCAACTTTACATCGATAACATGAAGTATCCTTAGTGAATTATAGCAATACTATGTATGAAAAAAACAGCCCTCCTCTCTCATATCGACAATTGTATAAATACCTGCGCAACATGCAAATGCTGTGGATGTCGGCCGTTGACCCTGCACCCCGGGAACCATGCTGCTGCCTTGCCGGTTTTTCACTGCGGGGTGGTGGCTACCCCTGGATGTTTGGTTGCATCTGTCTCCTCAGTTTGCAAGGAGGACAAACGATTCGATCGTGTATGCAGGCTGGGATTACCTGCACTGTGTCCAGATCCTGATCATTTCCAACTGGATGTCGCCCACACCTTACAATCCCATTCCCAGCGAGTTTATATGGACCAAAGCCGCACGGAATCGGCCTGTGAGCCACTAGTCCTGATCCCGCCTAGCGCATCTAACCAACCGGAGCACAATGGCCCGCCCAAGCCCCACGCTAAACCCAACAGAGCAGTGTGCCTGCGCTAGCGCCTATCTCTAAGCCCAGAGCGGACTAGCGCAATATCAACCCCCTTTTCGCCCGCTCAAAGTTCAGCATCGACGACAGAATCGACGCTTCGTCCTCCCGCCGCGATGCACCGTGACAGTTGACTGGATGGGCCCGGCAGACCGTGGAGCCCGGATGGAGCTGAGAAACACGAGATGTGCCTGGATGCTTTCAGCCTAGGGCTGCCCATCGTCGCTCCTGACTGGTCTGCCACCCTGCATGGAGAAGTCGGCCTTGGGAGGCATCGCTGCGGAGTTGAATAGACAAGCGCTATTTTTACCACGGATTCGGGTTTGCCAGTGTCGCTTTTTTTAGTAGTATTATTTCGAGTTGGCTTTTTTGAATTTTTGGGGGAAAACGACACTTCGTTTCCCCCCCTTTTTGACAAATTCAACGATCGAGCGAACTGAACCATTTTGCAGTAAAGACAAAAAGGATTCGCAGACGTGAACAGATCATCTTCTCGCAAGTGGAGCTTGATCGTCACTATTCGCCCTGCAATCGCCGCGACTAAGCTGCAGGGGGTCTCTGAATTCGTCCATACCTTGTCGAGCATACGGGCCGCGTGGTACGAAGCGTTGACTCCTGAGTTCCTGAAGGGAACGCAAAAAACACCGGAGCTTTTTGTCGAGGCCTTTCTCCCTGATTTTGATTTTCCGACATTTGTTTCAATTTCATTGCTTTGAGAGAGACGCCAAAACGTCAGCCTTGCTTTTCGGGATTGTTTCCTTTTCGTTTTGCTTGGCCCCCGAACTTCAAAGGAAAGGATGAGCGTCGTAGCAGGAAGACCGCCAGAATCACGAATGTCATACAATAGGCCTCCGTCGTACCGAGATGGCTCGCCTCATCGTCAGCCCCCTTCGCCCACCTACCCTCGAGTGATGGTGCCTCCGATATCCCCGCGATCCTCTTCGTTCTCGTACACGAACTATCATTTCGCCAATTCGAACGCCCCGAATATATACTCTCCTACTGCTGCTCAGTTCCCTTTTCGTTCAGCTGGACGGAGCCCCGTGTTTCCGGACACGCCGTCACCGACGTTCCCGAAACAGTTGCCTCAGGAGGTCTATGAGTGCATTGTCATTCAACTGCAGCTATTACACCTGCGATTTCACGGGGAAGGATGTATAACTTGTTTCATGAGAGATCTCTGCTCTCTAAGTTTGACAAGTAGGGCGTGGGAGAGAATAGTACGCACGAGACTGTAAGTATGGAGCCGGCGTTAGGAAGTAGGCCCACCCGCTTATACTTCTCCAGTTATCAGAAAATTCATATACATGGTATCGATTCACCAGCCCAATTGAAGAAATACAAATGGAAGCGTGGGAGCCGGTTGAAATTGCTTCGACGAACATTACGGGAGAGAAAACTGCTGGCCAACGCTGTTCTCGAGCTTCGAGTGCCAGAGCTGGACCTATCCATATCAACCGGAAAGCATCATGCTGGGCTGCAAGAATACGTTGACTTGATTGCGTCGGTGGTTATGGCCTGCCCAAATCTTGAGCGGCTTTTAGGGATCACGTTACCGTACACCCACGAGTTCGATCGATTGACTCATGCCTTATCTACTCGAAAAAAGCTCAAGGAGCATGCTTGGATCATTGGCGAGAACGTTGCTGTGAGCGAGCGAGCCATCGAACAAGCGCCAAAGCTGCTAGATCAAGGACAGGTCTATCAGTTTCTTAGCTTTCATACCTTCTGGGGCAATCTGGAAACCTTGATGTTACACTCCTTGGATTCGAACGGCATTTTAGAACATGGGATTGTTTTACGAATGCTCAACTTCTTGCCAGCCCTGCGCCATTTATCCGTTTCGTCTTTCAATGCCAACGATTTCACGGACCGGACATTACTATTTCTGCCTGCTCTTACTTCATTACGCCTTGAATCGCTGCCTGGCATAACGGAAAACGGCTTGGCTCGCTATATATCGAGACAAGAGGCAAGAGGCCTACAGTCACTGACACTTATAGAGCAGAATATAACATCGTTGCTGGTCGTTTCTAAGATTCTAGCGTCTTTGAGACATTTACAAAGATTTGCTATAGTCCAAAGGGACACGGCCCCCATTCTACCTGAAGGACGCATGGTCTTCCAGCCTCTTTTGGCTTCGTCAAGCTTAAAGTATCTACACTGGGATCTCGCTAGCCCCAACCCAGATGCACTTAACCAACTTGAACCACAACAGCTCAGGAAAGCCTCCAAAGGGGCGAATACACCAAATTTCCATCTTGCACAGAGTATCCTGCATGCTGGCTTCCCGTCACTGGAAACCCTTCGCGCACCTAGTGATATTGATCCTTTGGGAGCCTTGCAGGCTGTTTGCCGACCCACTCGAAACGGCCAGATAATGCTGATTTCAGATCGCTATAGCCTACCCCGAAGCTCACAGGGCACGCTTTCAAAGCGACCGCTGGCAATGCCTAGTGGTAATAACCTTACATCTGCCCGGATCCGAGCACAAACGCTCATTGATACCAGCGCAAGAGAAGGCGATCAAGGCATCAAGGTTGTCGTCACGGACCATTCTGCAGACATAGCGCTACCACTGCCAGCATTTTCCGATTCAAGCTCAGAAAATAGTTTTGATGAATTCGACAATATGCTCGAATCAATCAAGAAAAGGAAGCAAAATTCCTCTCCACCCCAACCACCCTCCACCCCTGCCGCCATCACAGTCCAGGAATTCATCATCCCAACGTACATAGGCCGCGTATACAACTCCGCCTACAACAAAATGGCCCCTACAACCCCACGTTTCAACCTCAAGCCCGACATTCCCAACTCCGACGCCGACGGCGGCCTAATCAGCTGGAAACACATCCTCACCGCCAACCAGACCTGGTCCTACTACACTCCCTCCTCACCCTCTCTATCCGTCATTCGCGCAGGCACAAACTCTAGCCTGGGCGATGACATCCCCTCTCCATCGCCCACATCGTCACGCCACACGATCCGGAGCCCCGGGGCGGGAAGCAGTGGTGGCTCGCTGCCTTCACCGCGGACCCCGACTTCGCCTATACCTCCGCTATCGCCGTTGGGTGTAGGACCCGGTGAGCAGCCGCAGTGGGCGCGAGAGACGTGCAACGGGTCGTGGAATCAGGGACATAGGCAGGCCAAGGATTGGTGGATGCATGTTGAGCGGGAGAAAATTGGTCTTGGGGGCCCGATGAACCCGAAGTTGATGGAGCTCAAGCATTTATTTTGATTTCTTGAAAGGTGAGTTGAGATTGGAGCCGGTGAGAATGGCTAGGGGTGTTTTTTTTTTTTTGAAAAAAAAAAGGTTTTTGTTGATAATTTATGTTGTTGCCCGTTTTTCCTGCTTTTATCTACAACACCTCTTTAATACTCCCACTGCGTTTGCACTTTCTTCTCGTGATGATAACAGGATGGACCTGGATTGGTAAATTGTCGGAGGATATATATACATGTTTATACGGATAATAATGTTTACTATTTATTGATAATAGTACCTCTAATTCGACGGCTCGACTATACGAATGCCTTTGGATTGTTCATACATTTCGACAAAAACGGGGATTATCAAATTACGCAGTGTTGTCATTCTACATGCCCGCACAGAGTGAGAATCGAGGAACACAAATATCACATTAACCACAGGATATACAAAGCGACATTTCAAACATAAATACCCACGTTGGTATCCTTCTTCTTCGCCTGTACCTCCGCAATCGCATCCACATAATGTTCATGGCCAACCTTGCTCATTCCCTTCCGTAGCGCAATCATGCCAGCTTCTACGCACACAGCCTTCAACTGGGCGCCACCGAATTCATCCGTACTTCGTGCCAATTCCGCCCAGTTGACGTTCTCATCTACGGTCATCTTGCGGGAATGGATCTTTAGAATTTGCGCTCGAGCTTCCTCGTTGGGGAGAGGGAATTCGATCTTGCGATCTAAACGGCCAGAACGGAGCAAAGCTGGATCAAGCACGTCAACGCGGTTTGTTGCTGCTAGCACTTTGATCCGGTCATCAGACGCGAAACCGTCAAGTTGGTTGAGAAGCTCTAACATGGTACGTTGAACTTCGCGGTCACCAGACTTTTCTGAGTCAAATCGCTTTGTACCAATGGCGTCGAGTTCGTCAATGAAAATGATAGCGGGGGCCTTCTCTTTGGCAAGGGCAAAGCAGTCGCGAACGAGCTTGGCGCCATCACCAATGAACATTTGGACAAGTTGGGGGCCGGCGAGCTTTAGGAATGTAGCATCTGTTTGGGCAGCGCAGGCCCTAGCAAGCAATGTTTTACCAGTACCAGGTGGGCCGTACATGAGCGCGCCTAAATAAACGAGCATTAGTGTGCCGCTTTTGACAAGCCAAATGAAAGAATCATACCCTTTGGAGCTTTAATTCCAATTTTCTTGAACCGATCAGCCTCCTTCATCGGCCAAACAATGGCCTCTACCAGCTCCTCAATTTGCTTGTTGAGGCCTCCAACATCGGAGTACTGCTCCGTAGGCTTTTCATCAACCTCCATGGCTTTTACTCGGCTATCGTACTCCGCAGGAAGTGTATCAAGGACAAGGTATGAATCTTTGTTCACGCCAATCAAGTCGCCAGGTTTGAGTTTTTCGTGGTCAACGAGGCCGATGAGAGGAAGGAAGATTGTTTGACGAGTAGATGTCTTAATGACTGCGGATTTGCCTACGCGGGTGGCGTCCAAATCTATATTGGCACCTTCCTCGGCAGCCTCTTTCTCGACGTCAAGGTCTAGAAGCTCAACGACATTCCCAACCAGGTAAGGTAATTGTCTAAAAGTAAATAGTCCCGGACATTAGCCAACTGGAGGATGTCGATAAGATTTCAGTCCAAACTATACCGATTGTTCTCGATCTTGTCCAGATTGTCCTTTATTTTCTCCTTCATCGTGTTTTGCTCGTGGGTCAGTCGCTGAAACTCGCTCTTCATGATACGCATGTCGTTGTCCAGCAGTTTCCGTCTGTTTATGATATCTCGTGTGCTTGATCGTAGAATCTCCTCGTCGACTAGGTCATCTCCCCCCTTTTTCGAATCTGCATCTTCCATTTCTGCATCACCATCTTGACCAGACTTCTTTCCGTCTCGCTCTTCCTGGTCCTTCTTCTTATCCTTGTCTTCACGCTCCAAATCTTCGAGCTCTTCAAGCGTAGACATCGTGGCGGTATCGAACTATGAAAACGGCAGACAGAGGGATGAGATAAAAATATAATACAGACGAGCTACACGCTAGAGAATAGTTATATCAGAGAGAATAAGGGAGGGCAATAGCGAAACACGATGTAGAAGAGGAAGAGGCGGTTGCTATATCGTCAGTTGGTTTGTAGGGAAGCTTGTTGTCCAGCTAAAGCTGTTAGTAATCCGGCTAGCCCCAGGTCACGTGGTCCAAATCAACGCCCAATGACTACGGAGTACTATATCATCCATCATCTCGTTCAGCGGACTCAGGCTCATCCACAACCTCGACACCTCACCCCATGAAGACCTCTCTTATATGTCTTGTTGGCGCCCAACAATCTCATCCTTCAACTGCAATCAAGCATTTTATCTGTCCATTCAATTATGGCCACTGACATCCGAGGTTCATGGCCAGACAACCCTCCACATTCTGTGTCGAATGAAAAGTGAAACACTATTTTCGACTTTGCTTTGCTTATCTCTCCCAGAAGTCCCTTAGTTCACCAGATATTCAAGAAATGAATTTCAACTTTAATGTAAATGGTGCTGACCTTTATGCTATCCCCCCATGGGACTCTACGTAAGATTTTGGACATCCATCTATTGCTATAACAATCTCTATCTCATGGCACGGTCATTCTACATGCTTGTCAGTTCAGGATCCTAGCTGTGAATATGAGTGAGCCCTAATGTTTATAGAGCCCTTTCTTTTTCCCTACCACCCAACGTGAAAAATTGATGGACTCAGTGGAGGCTTCGCCTGCAGTGCCAGCTTCTAGATTAATTGAGCCTCACAAGCACCAAGTGGCTCTCCTGGCCTTAGGCAACGAAAGAGCAGGGTCAAGGAGCAACAGTAACAATCAGCAATATTATATTGTCATTAAGAATTCTTCCTTAACAAATCCTTCCTCCATAAACACTTCCTTAATGAATCCTTGATGGATTCCCTCCGAGTTTTTACCCGCGCCTAATTTACATCCACTATCGTCCTTAAGTTGGTATAATATTTAAGTAAAGGAGCTCTCTCGAACTTCAACTGTCTACAGCAGATATTGTCCTATTAACCCAGCACAACTTAACATAAGCGGTCTTCTCTGATAAGGAACAAGCGCCAAAACAACAGCCCCCTAAACAAGCATGAGACTTGACTTCCGAGACAGCGAGAGAAGGACTTATCGGAGTAGAACAATCGTTGCAGAGTATCTCCATGATTTGTACTTACAAAATCACAAAAAATAGGCACTAAAGCAGTGGGAATAAGTCCTCAGTTTACTTCCAAGTAAAATCCAAACTTTATATGTCTATGAGCTAAATGGTCAGGGTATCAGTTCAAATCTCCAACAAGACTTGCTCTCGGCCTTTATTGAGAAGCTCGTAACGGGAGACAAAGTCATCGTGGTTGACTTAACAGAAGAAGCATAGGTTAGTCGTGTATAAGAAGGAGCCAGCAATGGAGTTAGGACCACTCACTGTAACCACCGCACATCCTCCTCGCTCCCGTGAAAGCAGTGCGGCCATGGAGCATTCTCCAATTGTCGAATACTAGAAAAAAAAATTAGCAACCCTACATTTTCATAGGACGTGGGGCTGGGGTGCATGGAAAAAGGACATACTTAGCGGCGTTCCCGGCTCTAGCTTGAACTGACGCACCAAACCAGGCCGGCTGAGAATTTCTGACCACGCCCGTGCAGCACTATACCAATGTCGCAATTTCTCCAGAGATGCGGAAAATTGTGCTCCCCGATCTTCATTGTTCCAGCGAACCTGGTAAAGCTCTTGCGTACGTGGGCTATGCAAAAAGGTCGGGAAGCTTCTAGCGGGCTTGATGCAAACATCCTGGTTTCCACTCGCGTGGTGGCTGAAAACCGACCGTCTTAAAGTCGAATACGCGTTGCGATTCTCACGGTACAGTGTGCGAGCGGCTTCAAAGCCGTCCACAAGCACGGATTCGCCTCCTTCACCGTTTGTATGGGAAAGAAGATGGAACATCTGAAGGCCGGCAGGATCAGTAAAGTATGCATTGTCCGTATGGACACCAAGGCCCTCCTTGGTATACGCCATATCTTTCATTGCCAGGTCGGAGGTAAAATCCCAGAAGCCGCCTGTATCAATTAGTATTTCTTGTATCGGACCATGGACTTGACGGAGGCTCTACCATAATGCGTCCACCGGATGAAAGCTATCCGTTCTAGCAATTCCTTAGTAGCTTCGGGTTCCACTGGACAACCTTTGACAAAACAGAAGCCATATACGTGCTAAGAAATGTCAGAAATAGAACTCATCACAAGAACTTTCAATAAAGCAGGGACTGACAATTTTACGAGTCCACTCGCGCACACCATCGTTGGAATTCATTACTTCACTGTAATTCACAGTTGGGAATGTACTTGGGTTATTTGACACATGTTCCGCGTCTGATCTAAATCAAAAAGTTAGCCCTTATGACAGTGAACAGATGCAAAGGACGACAACCGAAAGCTGGAGGTCCAGGTACGTGACTCTGGAAAATGCTTTTTCAACCACTCCCAGTTGTACTTGCTCACATGTCCGTCATTCGACCCTTGGTTCCAATGTTAACTGTTATTCGAGCAGCGAACAAGTGAGCCCGTCATCCTTACATTCGATCTCGAGACCCTTTTCCTGATCGACATGCAATTTGACAGGGGTAACATTGAAGGGAATCTAATCAGCATCAGTACGGCATGTAGCTGCATGGGTCAAGACACCTGGTAAAACAAACCGAATTCGTATCAATTAGTCGTTGCCTAGTCTCCGGATGGGTACATTTGGGGCATGGGCAATTTTCCCTAATTGCGTTTTTAGAACCCTTTAGAATTTAGAAATTAGACATGGCTTCAAACCTCAGCCAAAATGGAGACCTAAAACAAAAGTCAGCATCAAATTCATCCAGCAACTTTGGCTAGAGCCCCGGCGTGTTGGGAATTCCTCACCAGCCATGTTGGCCCTTATCCGGTACATTTACGACAATAGGCTTCCCAAAGAGATTAGGTTCACGGTTTCCCCCGTGTCTCTTTTGGTATTTCCACTTTCTCTTCGTGTATATGGACTAGCAAAGAGTCAGGCTAAAATTTTTTCAAGTGATCTTGTTTATTGTGGCTACTCACCCTCTGCTGCAGCCACAACTGACGAGTCACTGGGATGTTTGTCCTATGCGACGTGGAATGGTCAATAATCCACCTGGACGCCAGGTCGCTCTGAAATGCTTACCGCTGAGCAAGGGCTCGACAAGCGACGCTGAGCGCTCTGAATGGTTGGAGGTTCATTGCTTGTGCTACCGCAATTCGAATACTGTCCACGTTGGGATGGAAGTGATACCGGATGATAATCAGTTGAACAGGTACGAGGTAACTACGGAGTAACAGCGTAATTAACTAGCTAACTAACTAGCTGCAGAAATTGGCTGAATGTTTCAATACCGAACAAACTTGACAGAGAAGACTCTGCTGCTCGCTACCAATTATATTACCAAACGTTGTAAAATTACAAGTAAGTACAAGGTAGTATTTATCACACCAATTGGGGTTCAACAACAACGGGTAACTCCTGTACAATGTACATCCGTGCGAAGCTGCTCCATATTGGATACTAATAAATATGAGATGAACTCTTACAGTACTCACTAGCCGATGAAACATGGGCTAACTCGGTGCTTGTGAGCTGGGTTGAGTATCGTAAATTCGGCAAGACCTTGCTGACTACTTAGTGAACTAGTTAACTGCGGAGCAGCCAGAGCCCCAAGAGCCTCGGGAATTGAGCCCTTCAAGAGTTGCGTCTGAGAAGGTAGAAAACAAAGGGTAGGGATGCCCGGTTGACTAGTTAGAAAAAAGTATGGGGAACAGGCTCCAAGGTTCGATTTCTAAAGGCCACGCTCAAGCTTAGCAGAGGACCGGCAAGCATTCAGCCATCTATCCCTAATTCGTTTTATAGCACATTATAACTACTCTTCAAAGCTTGCTCTTGGATCCAACTTTCACCAAAGCACGACCGTTACTGAGGACGACTTTGCCGTCCTGATTTTTCGTTGCAAAAATCACCTCATCGAACCCGTTTTCTTTCTTACCGGTCACCCACATCTCCGTGGTGAGCTTGTCACCCGGCCGCACTGGAGATGCAAATCGAGCTTGGAATTCCCGTAGATTCTGCGGATCACTGCCGCCTAGCTTCTGAAGGATCGCGTGCGCAGTCATGTTCCAACTGAACAGGCCGTGGATAATGACACCGCCGAAACCCATTTTCTTGCCTGGCTCTGGGTCGGCATGTAGAGGGTTATAGTCGCCGTTCAGGCTATGATCATGGTCAGTGTCTTGGCCGTTTTTTTGCTTAGAAGGGATGACTCTGAACATACCGATATAGTAATGGGGTAAGAGCGGTTGTCTGATATTCGTAGATAACATCGGGTGATTGTCCTTTCGGAGGAGGATAGTTGATGGTGGCCGGTCCTGGTCCCGTTAGAAATGATGTTTGCAACAGCTAGGTGGGAAGCCATTCAAGCGGTACCTTTTGGCCCACCCCAATTGCCTTGGCCGACATAGAAGCCACTTCCAATCGCCGTGGAATAAACCTCTCCGGTCTCCTTGTCCACGATCTCCTGCTGCGTCTCCACGACGGAGCCGGCCTTTCCCTTGTCATAGACGCCCACAACTTTCGTCCTGAGCTCAAATTTGCGGCCATCACTGGTGACAGGGAGTGGCTTGTGGAAAATCATCTTCCGTTGGCCGTCGACAACGCGGCGGTTATCAAATTTGGGAACGCCTGGAATCACCTGCTGAGATTTGGCTCCGTGGAAATCCACAACTTCTTGCTCAGTGTGTTTGAACGCTGCACAAATGTGCGAGTTAGTATTGTCTACTAGTCTCCAAGGAAAACGGTCGTGACATTCACACTGTCCTTGGGCTCACATACGTAGAATGATTGGGTACGTCGGGAACATGGTGAAGTTGGGATGGAGCTCCTGGAAGCAATCGTCAGCGCATTAACCCTCAAGGCAGAGCTGGATTGTAAATAAACGAACATATAAGAAATGCAACTCATCGTCTGTGCATCCGATGCTGCTGGCAAAGAGAAGGGTGTCTCTCTTCAACCAGCTCACATCCCGAGAGGGGAACTGGTGTCCAGCTCCTGGTCCGCTCATGCTGATAGTTGAATTGTATAGTAGGTTGGCAAATTGAAATCTACTCAGGTTATAGAAAGAAGAAGGGTATCTTTTAGTGAGATGCTCTGGACGGGGGAGTTCTTTTAACATGCCAGGAGCTCTCCGCTAGGAGCTTTTGCGGGGCTCGGCAGGACAACATACCGAGGCACCTAGCCTTGCCTTATTATAGCTTGGAACTTTTTTGAATATCGGTAAGAAGAGGTTATTTTCATCAGACCATCAGCTTGCGCTCGTTATTGAGTTTGCCGTTGAAGTTCTGATGTCCTATTTCCAAGGCGATGAAATGTTAATCTTATGCTGACAGCCGAAAGGTACAGCTACACTAGCGACGAAGGCTACAAAATTCCATAATCGAATCACTCTCAAAAACATACAAAATATAGAATTGGCTATTTTAGCGTCGACTCGAGGGTATCTATTGCAAATCGAGGAGCTGTGAAATCCGATCCTTGACCATCATTTCATATCCATAAAACATACACCCCAACGCCCAGTTTTTCTTTGGTTTTTAGTGATCCAGATAGAATCAGTATGATGCTACGCGGTGTTTCAAAAATAAGGTAAAGGGTAGCAGAGCAAATCCAACAATTTAACTATGCGCCGGGACGCGTAGGTTGTAACTAGGCATTCATGCAGATGTAGGCAAAATATTTAGCACCTATAAAGGGTTAGTTGGTTTTCTCAAAACGTGAAAAATGATCGCAAACTGGATAGCTCCTACATCTTATATTCGCAAGAACCTTGTGTGTGGCGGTTCTCATCGGGTGTCTCGAACTGGTATGTGAGCTGGATATCGAGATCGCGCTTGTTCTTCTCATTGGGTCGATTGCTCAGGTAACCGGTGACACACTCATTTTCTTCAATCGTAATGACTTCATTAATGTAAAAGACCGTCTGTTTCCAGTGCGTATATTTTGCATGGGGACCAGTGGAGAATCGAATTTGCTTGTGGCATGCTGTGAAGTCGATGTCGAACCAAGCAATAACGGCATGGATGAAATCGTTTCTTTTAGCGGTGAGGTTGAAAGGAACCTGGAAAGCTAAATCTTGTGGGGTAACAGTGTATAAGTCGAAGGTAATGACAGGGCAAGGGTCTGTCACAAGAGCCTTGAGCTCGACAGTATCGACAAGTGGCTCAGCCAGCGCAATATCTTTCATCGGCGAATAGTTGAAGCCGTAAACGTTATCCCAAACTGTCGAAATATTAGCCTTCCCACGCGTAAAGTCATAGAGGTGCGGGTTTCTTACATCCTATCTTTTCATCCTTGTACTCGCCATCTTCGATTCCGGCTAGGTAAATGGTAGCCTTGTCAGGGAAAATCTTTCCATCAGGAACCAAATAGCGGTCCCTAGCATAGAGAACTGTATCTAACATGCTCTCGTATAGAAGAAAGTATCCCATCCACTCGGATATGATTATGTCAACCTTTGGGAATGGTAAAACAACTTCTTCCATTTTACCCTGGAGAAGTGTGATTTGGCTACTCATCCCATTGACTTCCACAATTTGGCGAGCCTTCTCAATGATGGAGGACATATCAACACCAATGACATGTTTGGCGCCAGCACGGACGGCGAACCTTGTATCAAGCGAGACCTATTAGCGGTATATTCAAAAGGTATTTGCGGAAAACACCCACATGCTAAGAATTCCCGTTCCGCAACCGACATCAAGGACGATCTTATCTTTGAAGATATGCCTATTTTGGTAGATGGCATCGCGATATGAGCGGGTTCGGACTTCATCTTTCTAGAAAATGGTAGATCAGTTAGCCAAGGATTATCAGAAGTGAAACCGGGCAAATTGATACGTACAAGCATCTCCTCATGAATGCCTAATCCGCAATTCCACGGTTAGCATTTGCGATATCGAAACAAAATGGACAACCTTTGAGGCCTATGGACAGGATTTACCATGATGGTCGTAACTACGCGGTATGGATCAGAATGGACACCATGAGAATTCAGAAAGGTGCACCGGCAATGCATACCTGGTAAAGTAGCGTACTTCGGCATGGTCCATCCCAACCATCCTATCTGCGCTGGAGGTTATCGACGCCTTGGGCGCCGCGTCTTGACCTCCGTTCATTGCGGGGAATAGGACGAGATGCAAGAGAGGAAGAATTCAAGGTAAATATTCGAGTGGGAGAAGAAAGAATATGTAAAATCAAGATATATCCTATAGCGAAGAATGATATAGACTGACTGCAGCAAATTCAGGCCTCAATATTGGGGTTGCAGCCTTTTCTCGCCAGATTCTGGTTCTCAAGATTCAACTTTTCTGATAACGAAAGATGCAATCAGCCTTTGCCGCTACCGTCCAAAGTGGTTTAGTGTGGCCGGCGAGGGAAAAACTTGTTTGCCCGGAATCCGGAGTTGCTCCCGGCGCCAAAACCGGCCTCTTCCAAGTTGCCAAAGCGGGCTCCGCCGCCAGCAACAAAGGGCGATTGGTTTAGTGGTATAACGTCTGTTTTGCAGAAACGCTGCGTTTATCCTCCAAGGAAAAAACTACAGAAGGTCGAGGTTTCGATTACCTCATCGTCCATATCCTATTTTGCTTTTTTAAACCGCCCGCCCAAGTCGTTCTGAAGATCTAGGGTAATACTTTCAGAGTCGTTGCGACGCCGCTAACAGTTTCTTTTTCTTTTCTTTTTTGGCGCTGCTCTTGTCTGATCGCCTAATACGGAGAAGTTTGTGGTTCAATGCGTGCTCTGCTAACTAAATTGCCGGTTCCCACCGCCATTTACCCCTAACTAGCTCAATTAACTAGCTAGTGAGCTTCAAGGCTTCGGGCTTCCACATTCTGACATGTCTTTGGATATACAACCATGAAGCTCAGCGGGGCGTCGTTTCGTTTGCCGCGGTCGCCGTGGTTTCTAGCATTTTGCTTATGGATATTTTTTATTCAAACCGCCAAGGCGTCACTTGGTGACCGACTGCCAGATTTCAAAGAGTGTGTTCAGGTTAGTTTTGAGCTCTGCCCGTAAGGATCTGGGTCAGGCTAGTCTAATCCTGTTGGTTTATAGGTGTGCATACTCGAGAATTGCGAGAAAAGCCCGGTGTCATTGCGTAAGTCCTGCGCTTTCTGGGATCATAACCCCCGCGGGACGCTAATTGCCATTTGCTAGCGATACACCTCCGACTCCTTCTCTGGGATTGTCCGTCAGAGTGCGACTATACATGCCAACATGTCGTCACCCACAAGCGGCTTTCCCGCGACCCGCCAATGCTTGAACCCGTCCTCCAGTTTCATGGAAAATGGCCGTTTCGTCGTATCCTTGGAATTCAGGAGTTCTTCTCCGTTTTCTTCTCTCTCCTAAACTTCTTAGCTCACCAGCAAGGTATGGCCAGAGTTCGCGAGTCGATACCGGCGTCGTATCCGCTACGGAAATATTATCTGGGCTTTGGATACTTTGGCATGGCCAGCTGGATCTTTAGTATGATATTCCACACCCGAGATTTTCCCCTGACAGAGAAGCTCGACTATTTCGCGGCCGGAGCTAGCGTGCTCTATGGACTCTACCTCTCCGTAGTGCGAGTCTTTCGCCTAGACCAAACTCGTCCACGGGTTAAACCTACACTTCTACGTTGGTGGTCGTTGCTCTGCTGTGGTTTGTATGTGGGCCATGTCTCGTACTTGAGCTTTTGGACCTGGGATTACTCGTACAACATGGCAGCAAACGTGGCGGTAGGTATAACGCAAAATTTGCTTTGGAGCGGGTTTAGTATCTCCCGATACAGGAAATATATGAAAGGCTGGACTGCGTGGCCGGGAATGATAGTCGCATGGCTTATCGTCGCGATGAGCCTGGAGCTTTTGGATTTCCCTCCAGCATGGGAGCTGATTGATGCCCACAGCCTCTGGCATCTGGGGACCGTCATTCCCACGATCTGGTGGTACACGTAAGTTTACCTTTCGAACAAATAAATTGGGCCTTATCTTGGCTAAGTCTAGTCACCCTTAGATTTCTCATTAAAGACGCACAAGATGACCTGATTGGACAGAGGCTGAAGGCATAGATCTCAGGCGGTTCCTGATCAACAGTAGTGTAAATGTATTGACCTTTTACGGTCTTCGGTAGGGTGTTGGTGGTTTTATTTTCGGACTAGGAGGTAGCTGTAGGATAGGATTCCTGGATTGGAAAACCACTTCTGTGAAAGCTTTGAAGTACATGTCACACACATCGTTGCACTGCCATCGTGAAGAGGAACACAACATCCGACGAAAGTGTGCAGGGGCAAACAAACACAGCAAATACGCATTCTTCCGTCCGATGTTCTGGCACGTGATTGGCTGCTACCCCTGTCGTCTGATGTCTGTTTGTCCTGTTTGCCCCTCCCCTGTCCTGCCATAGCCCCCCCCACCATCACCCCACGGATTGCTTCACGGTTCCTCACTTTCTCCAGGTCACCGGGCAGCTTTCATGGTGTTCCTGAGCTTTAAAATCTCTCCAGTCACTTGGACCCTACTTGTCTTTCATTCGAGCTGTTAACCCACCCATCAACTGACCGTACTTGTGGCTCGTTAGACAAGTTCATCAAGTTCACCATGGCCACCGAGGGCATGAAGCAGGCCATCCTCGATGCCGTCTCGGTTTATACTAAGCCGGAGGGCAAGGTGTTCGAGTATGGAACTGCAGGGGTAAGCCCGTCTCGAGCCAGCGGTTCCGGAGGGTAGTGCTAACGGCTTGACTTGCTCTAGTTTCGAATGAAATCGTGAGTCTAGTCAGATTCCTGGACTTCCTGCTCCGGAGATCTCCCTGCGTGCCTTGGAAACCTTGGGCTGACTGGAATTGGCCTTGTGCTCTACCAGTGAATTGCTCAATACGGTTGTGTTCGGCGTTGGCCTGCTAGCCGGATTACGTTCCAGAAAGCTGAAGACTCAAACCATTGGCGTAATGATTACTGCGAGTCACAATCCGGCGGATGACAATGGCGTAAAACTCATTGATCCCATGGTACATATGCTCTTTAGTCCTGTGTGTAAGGTACCAATTGTCATCTAACAACTTCTTCCAAATAATAGGGCGAGATGCTTGATGTGGGTTGCACCGAAACTTCATAGTTGTCGGAGGACTGTTAGCTGAACCATATGTCTAGGCTGAATGGGAAGCATATGCCACCAAACTCGCGAATACCCCGCTTGAAAAGCTTGGAGATGTGTATGAAGAGCTCATCAAAGAGATCGATGTCACATGGACACCTTGGTCGAGTTGTGTTTGCTCGTGACACTCGTGCTTCTGGGTCTCGTCTAGTCGGTGTGCTTACGGCTGCACTGAATGCGACTGGCATCGAATACACCGACTTTAAGTACTTGACCACTCCGCAGCTTCATTATATTGTCCGCTGCCAGAACACGCTGGGCACTCCGTATGAATATGGCGAACCAACCGAGCAAGGATATTATGAAAAAATTAGCAAGGCGTTTAAGACTGTTATGAAAGGCCGAACCACCAATGGCCCGGTCACAGTTGATTGTGCCAATGGTGTCGGTGGACCGAAGCTCAGAGAGCTCATCAAAGTATCTCCCAACTGCTAAAGAAGGCGGTGTGGACATCCACATCGTAAACGACAACGTTATCAATCCCGATAGCTTGAATTATGATGTAAGCACACTGCCAATATTGAGCCACTTGGTTTTATTAACAGTTTCCCAGTGCGGAGCAGATTACGTGAAAACAAGGCAGCGAGCTCCGCCCTCGTCCAAAGCCGCAGTCAACGATCGTTGCGCTTCCCTGGACGGGGACGCAGACCGGCTAGTTTACTATTATCTCGACACAGGAAACATCTTCAAGCTCCTCGACGGAGATCGCATTGCGACTCTAGCTGCTTCTTTTATTGGAGAACTGGCACGTAACGCTGGTATCGCCGATAAGCTCAGGATTGGTGTTGTTCAAACCGCATATGCAAATGGAGCCAGCACCCAGTATATTGAGAAAGTTTTAAAACTTCCGGTTGTCTGCACTCCAACTGGCGTCAAACATCTTCACCACGCCGCGATGAGATTTGACGTCGGTGTCTATTTCGAAGCTAATGGGCATGGCACTATCACCTTCTCAGAGCAGGCCCTTAAAATCATCCGCTCGACTGAGCCCAAGTCACCAGCTCAACAGTATGCATTGCAAAGTCTCATTGGGCTTACCGAACTTATCAACCAAGCAGTCGGAGATGCACTTTCTGATCTGCTCCTGGTTGAGGTTATCCTTGCGCACAAATACTGGACTCCAAAAGAGTGGATTTCAACTTATACTGATCTTCCAAATCGCCTTGTTCGTATTGAAGTCGCTGATCGATCGATTTTCAAGGCGGTTGATGCTGAACGCAAGCTGGAGTCTCCTCCTGGCCTTCAGCAACGAATCGATGCTCTTCAATCACGCTACAACAGGGGCAGAAGCTTTGCTCGTGCTAGTGGAACAGAAGATGCAGTACGCGTTTATGCTGAGGCTGCTAGTCGATCTGAGGCAGATGACCTGGCCACGCGTGTTGCTGCTGTTGTTCAGGAAGCCGGCAAAGCTGGTAAGCCATAAACGAGATATGGATTCCCTTTTTACGACAATTCGATTTTGAAAGAAAGAAAACAAAAATATATCCCCAACGCGTGCGTTCCAGGAGGTATCTGAAGCCATAATGCTTCTCTTCAGGTTATTAAACCAAAAGATTCTTGAAGACAGGATACAGGTTCTTGCCGAGAAGTTTTTTGCATCTCTCCAGGCTGGGTGCAATCTTTTAAATTCTTAATGGGATTTTAATGAGAAGTCAGAGCGTTCGGTCATAGGTCCGGGATCATTTGGCCCCTAATGGGCTATTTTTCCATTTATGTCCACTACCATAAAAAAGAGACGAAGATCCAGGCTTCTTATTGTTTGCAGAATAAGGAGATTTCGTGCACCCTAACTTGAGAGTTAAATAACGAATAAAAATAACCAATTTCATGGGAAAAACAGGTGTCAAGTCATCTAATGCATATAAAACCGCGCTAATTCATTAATTTTATACACGAGAAAGACTATTAGCTGCAGAAACTATCCCTCTTCACGATCCATTTCATCCCGGCCTCTCTTGGCCCCATTTCCGGTCCTCCTATTCCTCAGAGTGGCGCCTTTCTTTCCCCTATTCTCGTGTAATTCCTTCATTTCCGTAATCGCATGACGCTGCGCCTCGCTCACTCTGTCGCTCAGCACCATCACTTCTTCCTTTTCGGTCTTGTACTCGTCGAACGTTTTACCCAGCGCGCCTTCAATGCGCTGCCATATCTCAATGTCAAATTGCGTCACAAGGCTGAATGCATGTCCGCTTTTGCCAGCACGAGCGGTACGTCCCACGCGGTGGATGTACGTTTTGCTATCGGAAGGGAGGTCGTAGTTCAGGACCAGGTCGACGGAGGGAATGTCGAGACCGCGCGCGGCGACGTCGGTGGCGACTAGAATGTTTCGGCTACGGGATCGGAACTTGCCCAGGGCGCCGAGGCGTGCGGACTGGGAAAGTTGGCCGTGTAAGGGGATTGCGCCGAAGCCGAGAGCGCGGAGAAGGATGGCGAGACGTTGCGTTTCGTTGACGGTGCGGGTGAATACGATGACGGACTGGCCGGGGAATTCGTTGAGGAGGTATACAAAGTAGATGTCTTTATATTTGTGGGGTATAAAAAGGTAATTTTGGAGGAGTGTTGCGACGGTTTGGTATTTGTTGGAGGAGATTGAGACACGGAGAGGGTTAGAGAGGGATGCGCGCTGGAGTGATTCGACCTTTGAGCTCATTGTTGCTGAGAAGAGGTAAGTACGGCGCTCTTTGGGTAGGACTTTTAGAATCTTGTCCAGGATTGGGCCGAAATCTAGGTCCAGAAGACGATCGGCTTCATCCATGACAAGGTATTTGAGATTACGGAGAGAGAATCCCTTAGTGTTCTCCAAGTGGTCGAGCAAACGCCCAGGAGTGGCAACAATAATGTGAGGCTTCTTCCCAAGGGCGATAGCTTGGGAAACCATGTCCATTCCGCCTACTATCACAGCACATCGGACTGAAATAAGGGAGCCGAGAGCTTCGACTTGCTCGGATATTTGATATGCCAGCTCGCGGGTTGGAGCTAATACGAGACCGAACATAGACTGTGGCTTGTCCATGAGAGCTATAAGTATCAAAAAGGTAAGTCGGAGCCTGCAATAACTACGTGGGAAGACTTACCTTGCAAGATAGGTAAGGCAAACGCAGCCGTTTTACCGCTTCCAGTTTCAGCTAAGCCGATCACATCACGCCCTTGTAGCGCTAAAGGGATGGACTCGGCCTGAATCTGGGTCGGAGCCTTGTATCCTAGTGACTCGCATGCCTCGCATAAGGAATCAATGACCCCTAGATCTTTGAACGATTTTCTGGTGGTGGATTGGGTATCGGATGGTTCAACTTCCTGGGGAGAAACTTGTGATGATTCTGATTCTGAAGATCCATCGTCTGCGCCCTCGCGCGGAGGTGTGTGTGACAGCTTTCTCCTTTTTGTAGACGACATTTTTATTAGACTTGGTCAATTCGAAGGCTCAGATTGTTGAGATATCTCGTCAGTTGCTGCGGGCTTCTTTTGATAGCAAAAAATTTGGTATTATCACGGAGATCGGCAGAACAGTTGATCCGCGATAAGGAGCTACAAGGAAAAAAGTCCGCAACATCGATTCCAGGGTTGCGGAGAGCAGCAACGCCCCTGTTGTCTACTTCGATTCCTTCATTTATCTTCAATCCGGCTTGATAGAGATAAGTACTAAATGGCGAAACGGCGCACGAAGAAACGGACGCAGGGCCCGGCCGCTCCACAGAATGGCACCATTCCCGTGAAGAATGGAGCTGCATCTATGACTCGTTCCCCAAAGAGTATGGTGGTCCGAATGGGCGCTGGAGAGGTTGGTCCCAGTGTGAGCCAGCTTGTCAAAGATGTGCGATCAATGTTGGAACCAGACACAGCATCCCGGCTGAGGGTAAGCCCCCGTTTTGCCCCCTCTGATCTCATCGACATCGCAATGCGCTAATCAAGCACAGGAACGGAGAGGAAACAAATTGAAGGATTATACGGTCATGACCGGCCCGCTAGGAGTTACTCATTTGCTCCTCTTTTCGAAATCGTCCACCGGAAACACTAATCTTCGAATCGCTCTTACGCCCCGCGGTCCTACACTACATTTCCGTGTTGAGAATTATTCGCTTTGCAAAGATGTGATGAAGACACAAAAGCACCCTCAAGTGTCCAGCAAGAGCCATATGAATCCTCCGCTACTTGTGATGAATAACTTCATGACATCAAATTCAGAGGGAGAAACTTCTTCCAAAAAGATACCGAAACACCTAGAGTCTCTTACAACCACGGTCTTCCAGTCCCTATTCCCTCCCATTTCTCCTCAGACTACACCATTGTCCTCGATTCGACGCATCATGCTCCTTAACAGAGAATTGCCTTCTGCATCCAGTGACGTGGACCGGGATTCGTACATCTTGAACTTACGCCACTATGCCATCACCACGAAACGAGTTGGTATATCGAAACGGATACGGCGTCTAGACCCTCGAGAACAGCGCCAAAAGGATAAGAAGGACAGAGTGGTGCCGAATCTGGGTAAACTGAATGATGTAGCAGATTATCTTCTAGATCCGTCTGCTGCTGGCTATACCTCCGCCAGTGAAACGGAGCTTGATACTGATGCTGAGGTTGAGGTGATGGAAAGTACAACACGGAAGGTGTTAAACAAAAAGGAATTGCAGCGTATGAAGGCGGGCGAGAAGAAGGCAAAAAGCACATCATCCCCCAATGTTGAAAAGAGAGCCGTGAAGCTGGTGGAACTGGGCCCTCGAATGAAGCTTCGACTGATGAAAGTAGAAGAGGGGCTATGCGGTGGCAAAGTCATGTGGCATGCTTTGAAGAATAAAACTCAGGCTGAAGCAGATCAACTCGAGGAGACTTGGGAACAAAGGCGAAAAGAAAAGGAGCTTCGACGAAAGATTCAAAGGGAGAACGTTGAGAAAAAGAAAAAAGCAGAAGCTACAGACGGCCAAGCTGCTGACGATGAAGATAAAATGGAAGAGGACGACGATAGTGAGATGTGGGATAGCGAGGATTTCAGCGAGAATGACCAGCCAGATGAAGATGAAGATTAAGACTCTTCAAGCCGGGCGCTGCCACAGGCGACCTTGCAATGGAAATTTGTACTTATTGCTAAATATCTTTTGATACCACTTGGTTTGGACTTCAAATCAACATCGGCTAGCTAGCCTTTTGGTCAGAAATTTGTCCTTTCGAAAGGCACCTCGGAGGGATCGTATCTCTCGGGGCATTATATCGCGTATCCATCATCCTGTCCTTGTTCAGGGGCTAGATGGAAACGCCTCAATTAAAACGCGTCAATCTCGACAATCAAGCGGCTGAATTACCTCGAAGTTTTTCTTCAACGAGCCTCCCAACCAACTTTTGTAGTGCCCCGGCATCCCCAGCGGTTTGGCCTTGGAAATACGCCTCGACACTCTTCTCCACGTACTTTCCGACCATGTCAATCTCGACATTTACCAGGTCCCCGGGCTGCTTTTTTGCTGTGATGATTTTCTCTTGGGTATATGCAATCAGCATCATTTCAAACCATCCATCTTCACCATCAGCGACTCTCGTAATCGTCAGGCTCGCGCCGTCCAAGGCGATGAAACCTTTTTCCACAATGTACCGCAGAACACTCCTCTCTGTTGGCTGAAGTCTGAATACAAGTGAGTTGCCATCTGGAGTCACTGAGAGAATGGTTGCTGTGGTATCGACATGACCTTGGACGAAGTGACCGCCCATCCGGGTTGAGGCAGTTACTGAACGCTCAAGATTTACTTTAGACCCGGATGCGAGGGAGCCCAAATTCGTGCGACGAAGAGTTTCCGGTGCCACGCCAACTTTGAAGGAAGATTTGTCGAAAGTCGTGATAGTAAGACATGCTCCTGTGAGTTTCCATGATGGTGAGCGGGGCCGTCGCAGAATAGGGTGATAGGAGGGGAATGGACGCAAATTCCTCACCGTTAACACATATGCTATCTCCCAATTGCGCATCTGTAAGTATCTCCTCACAATCTGAAATGGTAAGCGAGGTGCCACCGCCTCCGCTGGACGTGTCGTCCTGGGGCTCAAGTGCCGTGACGACTATTCGAGGTGGGTTAACTAGTCGAACGCGGAGGTTCTCTGCGACGAAGTGACTCACCGCCGATGGTTTCAACCAGTCCAGTAAACATCTTGAACGTACTGCTAGCCAATAGCGTCAGTAAAAACAAGACTAATTACTTCAGGATAATCTCTGTTCTGGTCATCGCCAGCGTGGAACCGGCCACCAAGTCCGATGCCGAGAATGTGGGGAAGCTTCGGGGGCAGACGGCCTAAAAGCCAGCGGCTTCGGGCTCTCTTTAGCTCCAAAACTGCCGACTAGCTTCCGCGGTCTTTTGTCCTTCAACTGGGGTTTAAAGCTCCCCTCCTTGCTGCGCAATGGGATTGAACTAGGTAAGACAGTTGAATGTATGTACTTTTGCATTCTGGCACGATGAGGGGATATATTCCATTTCAGAGCTTTGCACGACGAGCGAACCGCGTGGTGTTGAGCAATGGCGCCTCCCTGATATCGAAACGGGGCTTTTCGACCCCAGTGAAATCGCAGGGCACATTGCCATTGGCCGGTATACGCGTCGTGGATATGACCAGGGTGCTTGCGGGTGTAAGTTCGTTTTGCAGAGAGAGTAACTAGGAACTGGGCTAATGCTTCACGGCAAATAGCCCTACTGTACACAAATCCTAGGCGATTTAGGGTGAGATATGGCACCCTTCGTCGCGAGGTACTAAACGAGGCTTTTTTGCTGAGCCCTACCGGCATATTATAGTGCAGAAGTGATTAAGATTGAACATCCTGTTCGTGGAGATGATACTAGAGCTTGGGGCCCTCCATACGCCAAATACAAGAAAGGAACCAAAGACGGCCCAGGCGAGAGTGCCTACTATCTAGCAGTATGCCAATTGATGTCTTTGTCATTGTTGCTTGGTCCGCTAATCTTTCTTGTCTTTAGGTGAACCGAAATAAAAAATCCCTAGCTCTTTCATTCGCCCATCCTCGGGGGATTGATATCCTCCACAAGCTTGTCAAAGATGCCGACGTGCTCGTCGAGAACTACATACCCGGCTCGCTGAAGAAATATAAATTGGATTACGAAACTCTTAATTCTCTCAATCCTCGGCTGATCTACGCGAGTATCACCGGATACGGCCAAACTGGTCCCTACAGCCAAAGGGCGGGTTACGACGTAATGGTTGAAGCTGAGATGGGGTTGATGCACATTACCGGAGCAAGAGATGGCCCTCCAGTGAAAGTCGGTGTCGCCGTTACCGATTTGACTACCGGATTGTATACGTCGAATGCTATCATGGCTGCACTTTTGGCGCGGGCGAGAACAGGCCAAGGGCAGCACATCGATTCCGCTCTAAGTGACTGTCAAGTGGCTACGCTTTCAAACCTTGCCAGTTCTGCTCTGATTAGCGGCGAAAAGGATTCAGGAAGATGGGGCACTGCTCACCGTAAGTCCCGAGGCACGGGGGGCGCAATTCATATCCTAACCTAACCGTCTGCAGCATCTATCGTCCCATATCGAGGATACAAAACTAAGGATGGCGACATTCTTCTTGGTGGTGGAAACGATAATCTATTCGGTATCCTCTGCCAACGATTAGGCCATCCAGAGTGGAAAACAGATCCTCGATTCGTCACCAACAATCTTCGCGTCAAAAATCGACCTGTAATTGACGGTCTGATTGAGGAGACCGTCAAGCAAAAGACGACACAAGAATGGCTGGAGATTCTAGAAGGCAGTGGCATGCCTTATTCGGCTGTGAATGATATTCAAGGGACTCTCAACCATACTCATGGTAAGGCTATAAAACCGTCCCATCAACACCGAATATACCTTTCTGACCCCCTTGACTAGTTCGGGCTCGTGGTATGGTGCAAGAGATTGAGCACCCTGTCTGCGGACCTATCGAGCTTGTCAATACACCGGTTAAGTATTCCCACGCGACTCCTGGCATTCGATTGCCGCCTCCTACCCTTGGACAACATACAAATGAGGTTCTCCAGGATCTGGGTTTTGGGAGTGAGAATATAGATCGATTGCGACAAGAGGGTATTGTTTCATAAGTCATTCTTTTTGGGCGTTCTGTTTTGCGATTTATCCATAGACTACTGGCAGACATGTAAGCTAGAATTAGATGACTTCTATTCCGTATACCCCACAGAGATTTATAACTTTTCAATCAAATTGAAGAGTATTTTTCCAATTCTCCTCTCTTCCTTGAGACCTCCTTTCTATGAGGTCCGAGTGAGTGGATCACGTGATGCATTCTCAAATGGCAACACCCGCCAGACGAACGTCATGGACAGTGAATGGTGATTGAAGGTGAGTGCTATTGTTGATTGACTGTGAATAGATGATTTAGCGAAGCGACAGATACTGTTGTGCTTCCCTTTTTGCTATAATGGACGAGGCATTGCAATCTCCTGCTCTCATCCCCGATGCTCCTCCAATATCAAACTCGGACGAATTGGAACTATCCTCGATAGCTCTCACCACAACTCCTATCCCTGGCGGATACATTGAAGCGAAAACGGGTGAACTTCTGTCGAGACCTTGTGCGCCTGTACCGAGCGTCTCCCTCAGCCCTTCCAGTACTATCACCGCTCTTTCATCCTCGGCTACTGAATCCGTTACCGGCCTAACAACTCTCTCGCCAATAGGTGCTGGGGGCATATCGAGTGCTGGCAGATCTCAAACCCGAACTCTGAAACTGTATGTCTCTCCACGAAGATCTGCAAGTTGCTCAAATAGTGCAAATGCTACGGGCTTCCCGCCTATAAGTGGCGACCTTACATCGAGTACTGGCCGCTCGACAACTTCCAACTCTGGTCTCACGCCGGCTGGGTCCGCTGGAGAGAGCCTCCCTTTACAAACAGCTACTTCGTTTATCCCTACTACCGATACGACAATGCCTCGTGCATCTGCAAAACCGGGTGCTACAGGATTCAAGAAAATTGCACCTCTACCCAGCACTACAGGAGCAGGGACAAAGGGGAATGCGGCCCCTGATTTACAATCCAGCAAGACGCCGAAGCAGGTTAAGAAAACCGCTCAGAAACGGAACAAAAAGCGCAAGGCCGGAATTTATGATGACGATGAAGAAAGCATCATCAAGGCTGGAGGTTCGGACTCGGATGGATCAGATGAATTCACCACGGTTACCACTCAAACCAAGTCGGGTCGACAGATTCATCGACCCACTGTTTTCGCTCCACAACCGGATCCAGCTCCAATCTCTGCGGCGGGAACGGCAGTGTCTCCCGTGGGAGGCCCCGAGGGAGGGAGTCCCCGGAAGAAGCGACGAATACGGCGGGTAAAAGAAGCCAACATCACCTGCGAGCACTGTCAGAGGGGTCATAGCCCGGCAGGGAATCAAATCGTGCTTTGTGACGATTGCAATGGGGCATGGCATCAATTCTGTCATGATCCGCCGGTGGAAGCAGAGACAGTCAGTGAGAAGGAGTCGCAGTGGTTCTGTAGTGATTGCAGACCCCTTAAAGCCCCCCCATCTGTTGCTTCAGTACCTGGTGTTTCAAACGTCGAAACGGTTACTGCTACCGTTTATGATTCCAACTTTCTGCATTCGCAAAACCTCGTCGGAGGATCGAATTTCACCGCTGAGGAAAGATTGGGATATCTTTCTCGTCTCTCTCATGCCGCTCTGGTTGGTCTGTTAGCGCGGATATCTGGTGAAAACCCCGAGTTACCGATTTTCCCAGCCAATTTGAAGGAACTACGCACATCTACGTTTATAGCTCCGTTTCCCACGAAGCCATCGAGCGCAGCAACAAACGCCACTTCACAAGACACCACACTGTCAACGTCGTTGCCGCAGGTTGCCGGTGCCATCTCTCCACCCCCCGCAAAAGTCCAAACCCAACATCCACCCGCAACCACCATCGCCTCTTCTGACCCTACTCCCGCCGCAGCTCCTATCGACGAGTACGCTTCCGACGAAGAATTCATCCCGGAGCACCGTCTCTATCCTAAGCCCGGAAATGGGTTCCGTTTGCCTCCTGACTCGGTGGATCTTGATATATTGCTTGAAGATCCCAACTGTCGGACGTTTAGCCATGCGCTTCATGGCCCGGCGGAGATGAGAGCCGAAGCTGCTGTTGGCGTCGCGTGAGGGATCCATGTCAAATTAGGTAAGAGAAATAAAAGTATTTTCGTGGACGTGTTGAGCTGGCTTGTCGACTCTGGACATATGCATTTCAAAAGAGCAAAGCATAATATGGGCGCTTGATACACGGTTCTAGGGTGTTAACGAGTGGTGACTTTGAGAAGGGGAGGCAGGGTTAATTATATTGAATTATGCACAAAAATGTAGGCCCGATACATTAAAGATATCGTCGATCGGCAGAGCATTATTTATTTATCGCAATCCACCAGCGCAATCCAGCACAAGCAGAGTGACGAGTCACCACATTCCTTCAAAAGAGTGGACTCATGGCAAGTGTGCAGCAATATGCAAACGCATTTCCATGTTCAAATATTAAGCAATCATGCAAAAAGTACATACCAGGGTATCGTATACGAATTAGGTTGCATAAACAATCATACGCGAATCAATCTTACACAAGGAGCAGAATTTGTTTAGATGTTCTCGATTACGCGAGCATTCATCGCCTGCTGAAATCCGTCGTTTGTGTCGACATCGAATGGATTGCTGTGTCGGCTGGGGCCTTCGCCAGCGTTGTCCGCTTGATTGAGGGAGTCTTGAAGTTGTGACATGGTCTGGTTGGGAGCTGGAAGGAAGATGACCTTTGAGTTGGAAGACTTGGCCATTTGCTGCATGGTTTCCAGGTAGCGGATCTGCATAGCAGGCGCGGAAGACAGGATATCGGCAGCAGCCCTCATAAGCTGAAAAAGGGACACGGTTAGCGTATCTTGTCACCAAGAGATTACCGATAAAGGACATACCTTGGCAGCCTCAACTTCTGCACGAGCCGCAATCACCTTGCTCTCACCAATTCGCTTGGATTGAGCAGCCATGGACAAAGATTCTTGGAGCTCATCACTAAAGATGAGGTCTTTGATGAGCATCGATTCGACCTTGACACCCCAAGGCGGTCGGCACATCGTCGATAATCTCTCTGATGGGACTGTGCAATCTCTTCTCTACGCTCAATGACATCCTGCAGCACACGAGGCACGACCACCTTGTCGCAGTGTCGTCTGTGTTCGTTCGATGAGTGCCTGGCGAACATCGCAACACCACAGGCGACCTTGTGCGGTGAGACGACATGGTAGTAGATCACCGAGGTCAGATGCAGGGTGACATTATCTTTGGTCATGCAAACTTGGCGCGGAACCTCGACAATCTGAATCTTGACGTCGATGGTCTTTAGCTTCTCGCTAAGAACGTTGACCTTGACAAGACCTGGGTCCACGGCGCGTTCGAAACGCCCGAACTTGGTAACAAGGCCGACTTGTCCCTGGTCGACCGGCCTGAAGGGATTCGGGCAGACGATGCAGCATGGAATGGCGCCCAGACATCCGATCAACTCACCCAGACCGTGGACTGTGTAGAAAGGAAATAGATAAGCTTCCGCTGCTGAACGAACTAGCGCGTTTCATAGGATACTCACTGATTGCGGAATACCACCCATGGCCGTCAGTGCTCTGAGTAGGATGGTTCAAAATCTGAGCATAGCTCGGCTGGAGATCTTCGAGGCGTGCAGGCTGGACAGAGATAATTTCGCCGCCGCCAGGGCGGTTATTCGATTTGAAGACGTCAGGTGGTTGGTCGCGAACGGCGGCTTTGCCATGGCTCTGGCTGTCAACAGTGGCAGAGTCTGCATCCATAACAACTGACTGATACGATCAACAGCTAGATTGGGAGAATATTTGGAAAATGCTCGAGAGTAGCAACACAACGTCGGTCCAGGATGTGGATATATATGTGCGATCCCAGGTTGCAAGAGGAAGCGCAGGATCGCCGTGGGGGAAGTTGGGATGATGTAGTTCGTGATGGCCCGTGGAGAGCAAGCTTCCTCAGTTCTCCACACTGGACAAGGCTTGGCTGCGACTCCTGGACTTTTGGCTGAAAGGTTGCTCCCAAATCCCCACGTATCGAGTGGCTGGAGATTGAGAATGCCTTTCAACTTGAACTGTGAAGACCCTTGCCATCCTCCACGAGGTGGCTGTGTTGTCCATCACATAGCTAACCCTGCCAAAGCGCCTTGCTCCGCCTCTCCAGTTGCCGATTCTGCCGACTGTATTTGAAGCTTCAATCGATGAAGCCTTTGACTGCTGGTGAACAAGGCTACAGTCCAGGAAGTTGTTAATAACTTCTCACGACTTTCGAGATGGTTCTGATCGACAAACTTCCCTAATATCAAACAGCGCGCTATTAACCCCAAAGCACAGAGACCAATATTGCCAGCGCAAATCTACGACGATGATCATACATTTGTCACTCGCATGCCGCAAAAGAAAGGTCAATGATTACTTTGGATGCTAGTTACCATTTCGGTGCCAGTTAGACTCTCAGCGCGACCATATCGAAGCGCTATTCCATTTCGGGGTACTCTTTCGTACACGGATACTTTCTGCGCAGGTTGCTGTCCAATCGATGGAATGTGCCCTCTGAGAAGGCTGGAGAAGTCTTATTGTTTGTGTCCCCGATCTCTCATTTACGGCTGGCTTGCTGTCAATCTCAGCCACCCCTAGGGGTATACCAGCCTGATGCCTCTAGAACCCAACCTCTCCTACGGCCCAGCCCTGTTTTTAATGAATCCTTTGAACATCTGCATCCGCTCCGTCCAGTATGGTGGATTTGACTTTACCTGGCATCATCTGTGCTCCGCGGGAACCAATTGAGAATGGATGAGACATGAGGAGGAAATTGAGTAAAAAGGGCCCCAAGAGACACCTGAACGGTCTCCCAACAGGAACTACCCTATTATAATTCGAGCTGGCCTATAAATCCCCTAACTCCGGCGTGAGATTCAACTGGAAAATATCTCAGCATCACCAGTGGTCTGAAGAACGACAACGGGGGAGACGACATGCAGGTGAGACGAATGTTGGGCCAATCTCAGTGAATTCATATTCCATTCCATCTGGAAATAAGAGAGGCGTGTTTCATAAACGCACAGGTTACTTGAACACACGGGTGAGCCTCTCTGACCACAGCTCGAAAACGACCTAAAGTTTGCTCAGAGAGAATCAGTCGCCAAAGACATTGCTCCATTGTCGACTTTTAGATTTATTTGGGCGTGGGGCTTTTATCTGAGGCACAGCTCCTTAGCTGTTCTCCTTTGTCGTCGGGGTTGATTCGAAGTGCGACTCCCATTCCCCAGTTCTAGGACACTACTTTGATTGCCGACATTTCCTACCAAAGTCCTTTTACCCTTTCCACCACGCGAACGAGGACTGTGGAATGTGGGATGATTAGTGACGGGTCCTCCCACTTGCTTCTCCCAAAAGTTGATCTAAAAGATATTGCTTGGACATTACTGGAGAGCTCCAGCACCCTCTTTAAAGAGTCATATGGCCATTTAACGCACAAGTCTGTGGCATAACATCCGCCATATTTGCATATTGACACAGGCAAGGGGCCAGTGGACCGAGGCATGAAGCGAATCCATGCAACTCGCAAATACCAGAAGCACGCCCACTTTTGCATATATCGGACAAAGCAGCGAGAGCTTGCAAGGCTAGGGTACTGGTTTGGTTGTGACTCGGTATACTCGAACCAAGGAACAGATGTCCGGGCCCGTCCGAAGACATGAGATCATCCATTATTTTTTCCCTCACTGTGAACTAATAACTAAAAGTGGTTTCTCAATGGAAACGTCAAATTCGGGAAATAAATTTTTCTTATATTATTAACCATCCGGAATGTGTGGGTGCGCGGGTAAATAGTCTGCGACCAAGGGCTGCAACCTAGCCTGAAACGAGCTGACAGGTAAAAATATAAAACAAATAATCGTTCCTATCTGTGCGACCGGGCCCGCGGCTCCGCTAGAATCTGCTGTATGACGCCGGAAGCCACGGTCAAGCCCGCTTTTGCATTGCTGGTCAGACACCTGCCAATATTGAAGGCTGCTTCTGTATATTTGGCCACCCCCTTTTTTACCCGCTTCTTTCGTCCGTCGGATGTTTTTTTTGTTGTTTTCTTTCCATCTTGATACAACTACTTCTGTCAGGGCCGAGTGGGCTGGTCAGTGCTAGCGGTGGCGGCCGGACGAACCGCCCCACTATCACATGCAGTTTGGAGCTTCTGGAGCTTGTGATGTTGAGTTCCTGGGAGGCAAAAGATGGAGGATTTTTGCTCTTTGGATGGGAGCAATGGTGGTGTTTCTCCTTTTGCATGTGCTAATTGAGTGGGAAGAAATTGCGATGCAAGCCAATGTTATATTATTTCAGCGAGGAACCTGACCGTAAACTAATCTACAGTAAACGGAACGCCCATTGAGAAGCCGCCCAAAGGAGTGGTAACTAGAGGGAAAACACACACACGAAATTTCTCGACCGGAGTTGGGAGAGTGAGAGTGCGGGTTGATTTTTGGGGAGGTAAAACAAGTAGAAAGGTTTTGTAACTTTTTGGATAAAATCGTGAGACGATAAAAGAGATATGCCAGCCAGATAAAGAACGAGAAGAGAACCCTAGTACATATGTGAAATTGTGGAATCTAGTAGCAGCTGATAACGCGCTCAATTAAAGGGAGCGAGGGTGAAGCGAGAAAGCAGATAAAAGCCGGCCTGAGAACGGTGCTTACTTGTTCCCATTCTGACGAGGCTTGCCGTTGCTGGCTTTCGCCTGAGGAACTAGATATTCTCGAAGCCAGAGGCAGGAGTCGGCAGTCAGTCTTAATCCAGTGGATACAGCAGCCTTGCCGCGAGCGAAATATCCGTCTCCCACTGCACTTCGTTCAGACGAGTAGGTATCGAGGACGTATCCCTTTCCGTCCTCGGCAAGACGGAATGGAGCATTCATGTATCCTCCAATCATGCCCCTGATGTTCTCTGAGGCGGTGATGACGGCGGGAATGGTGCTGTCCATGCGGTTAAGACCCTCGTTTCCGAGTTCATCAGCTTTGGTGACGTATGGTGCTACGTAGCCATACGGTTTGGCAAAGTAGGGAAGAATCGGTTTGGCGAACTGAGAGTAGCCCTGATCGGCAAGCTCGAGGGATTTCTGGCCATACGGGTTGGCTTTCAGGTTTTCAAGGGAGTCGTGGACGATGGGGTATGAGGTGAGGTGCTAGAGTGGAGAAAGAAGGGGTTAGCAAGGGAGAGTCAGCTCCGTGGTTCCTGACAACGTACGTTGATGAATTGAGATTGCGGCATGTTGCCGTTGACAGCTGGTTCACCCATGACGTCCTTTTCTGCGTGAGGCATGTATTGATGGAAGAAGAAGAAGTTGTTGCGATGGTATAGAAATTGTGGCCGACTGGCTTGGGATGTCAGTGATGTTGGAAAGAGTTTTTGGTTGCGGATCAACCGGGAGGGCTGCCTACCTTTTGGATTATAAGCGACAGGATATGATTTTGCTTTAGGCAACAAACGGCTGAAAAGCTGGTGAAGAGACGCTGTGAAAGTGATGAGGCCGAGAGGGACGGGAGGAGAAGATATAATAAGACAGACGCTCTATAGGTGGGCGGTCGGCAAAGGGAGGCAAAAGGTGCGATGGATGTAGGGGAACTGCTAGCTTTCGCCTAGTAAAGAGGTCGGGATGGATCCATGATATCGGGATCGATGGGCAATCATAGGAAGCTTCCACACCTCCCAGTCCCAGCCTTTGAAACTCAAAGAGGAGATGCCGGGTTGCGCTTTATCGCTTGATGCTTCTAGATTGCCGTATCTGATAGCGAATCACAGCGATAGGAAGCGCAACGACCCTTGGCGGTCCCTTGCTGGTCGACACTGGGGGGCCAATCTGATTCGAAGAAGTGCCCAGGACGACTGACATGTGAAAGGTCACTGCGGGTGATTCGACGCAGGAGGTACCTGGCCTTCTATCAACATCACAGACATCTCGCTGTTCCATGGCATGGTTTCGAAAGCTAGTTGTCTGCTTTGTGCTGGCAGCTCATGGGGCGTTGGCCCACCTGTGGACGAGATGATGCAATTGATGCATGTGAGTTTAACAGGCTGGGTGCCAATGAGGGGTTGCTGGCAGTGCAGAACTGCCTTTTCTTTGATACGGGTTATCGACGCCCGTCCATTGCTCGAGCCCAGCAGGAATGCGATGCCGTGCTTGCGTGTATCAGCGTCAGAACTGATGGCGATGGAAGCCAATTCAGCGGTTTGCGCAAAGGCCATTGGCGACTCCTTTGGCCTGGAGCTGGCCAATTCACATGTGAAAGTGGCTGACGTAAGCGGGGGGATATCGACAAGGTCGAACACGGCTCGACGAGACAACGCTGCATGGCGGTGCTGGCTCTGCACTTGATAGCCAGACCCGTGGAGCAGAGGAACGATTTGCATCCGTGCCATCAGAGTGAGATTTGTCTTATCTAACTAGCAACCTGTCCTCTGCATACCAGGCTCGATAAGCCCTGTTCTCGACTCCTCGGAAGCACGACTTGCCTACCTTCGGAGCCCATTTCTCATCGGACTCCCTCTTGTTTAAAATAACATCCACGCAGCATAGCAAGGAATGTTCCATGGCTAGGACTCCCAGAGATTGCGCCTGCACTGTGCAGAGTTTCGAAACCCTGCTCGTGATTCAAGTCGCATTATCGACAAGGATAGAGGTTCTGGCTGGCCCTCGATTCTCGTCAAAGGAAGCACACTGCTTGAAGACATTCCCTTAGATTATGTCGACTTGAAGCGTGCCCAAGATGGAGGAAATACTCTCTTCACAGTACTGGAAATTTGAACCTCCCCAGTGGTGCAGTCGGATTCCGTGAGGATTTGGGGTCAGCTTCTATATCGGGTGGAACTGGAGAGATATTACTCTCCAATCTGGGCGGTGAGCTCATGCCTGAGACGGGAAACGTATTGGCGACCTGAAGGACGATACCTCAAATATCATCCCTGGGATCTTTCCCGTGTTAGACCGCGTTCCAAGTATTCTGTCCTAATTCGAACCAGGATTGGACACACTCTTGAGACGCGATGCTCCCTTCCTCTGATCATCGAACGATCCGGGGCTGTGAACAGAGAATAATACGCGGATGCTTTTCAGATGGGTGGTCTCTTTTGGCATTGCAAATCTCATGATGCAAACAGTTCCGCTACGACCTACATTTCATAGAAATATGACTTGATAGACCTAGGTGTGCAGCTCCTTTGAAATTTACGTGGCATGCATGCCTTCGAGACCACAGTGAGGGCAGTGCTGGAGTCTCAAGTGGAGTTGATCTTTGCATAAGCGGGGTTTCCCAATTGAAATTCAATGGATTTTGTCTCTTCACTTGTCCACTAGGGCCAATTTTCGGACCCTGCGTCGATGCGGAGATGCATCATCAACAAGGGGACAGAACGAAAGTCAAGGGGCGGAAAGTGAAGGCCTAGATTACTAGATACTAGATACATCTGTGGTTGGATGATTATTCCTCGATTGCTCACAAAGAGGTGGATACATATACTAAAGAGCCCTTCTCCCTTTCTACAGTTTTTATTCATAGAAATAGTAGACTCAAGCCAAGGATATTAACTTAATATGATCGTCTATCAAATTTGCTCGAATGTATTAATAGCAGCGTCGGGGCTAGAAATGGCAAACTCTGGTTTTCAAATCAGCGTTGCGATGTAGATACGATGAGCTCGATAAACATCTTGAGAGTTGAAAGACCTGTCATGTCTCGGGTACAAAAAGTGACGAATCTGGACCTTGTGTTTAGCCTTGCTAGCTGGCTTCGTACTCTGAATGAACCGACCCGGGCTAGAACCGGATTTCGGCATTGCTCATTACTTATTTAACCGCAGCAAAGAAGACGATATTATTAATGGGCAAAAGACACTGGATATCACCTATGCTTGCATTGGGCAGTCCACTTGTTGGTCTGACCGAACTAAGTATGCGTAGTAAGCTGACTGATGTTGGATCTATTGATACTCCGTATATGTTTTGTTGAGCAAATGATTGAATGCTATGAAGAGTGCTGGTAACAATCAATGAATGGGTGATGACATCTGGGCATCATTGAGTATTCCATCGCCGAAATTCCATTCAAGCTTGTTTTTATTGTGGTACTTGTGGGTGCTCAGAGGTTCGTGATGATTGACAGATAGTGATGTGGGGATATCCATTGCTGTTACTCGAGGGATCTGCGTGAGTGGAATGGAAGAAAGTTGCCACAAGCGACTTGGAGTTGATAAGTTGGGTGGGAGGTAAATGGCATGAGACGGCTGCTGATCTGAGTAGGTTCTTTATGCATGTTGAGATTTCAGAGGACCAGACCTCGGATAGTTAGAATGACGGGCTTCACCAATAAGACTTCACGAAATAGGGCGACCTCTGCTAAGATAGATATTCATGTAGATTTATCTTCCTTCGGAGCATGACAGGAACCATAGGGATCAACAATCGGTTTCCCGGATAGATATCCAACCCAACTAAGACGTTTGAATTAGGGAGAATGGATATTCGGCTCATCATGTCATTGCCTGATATGCATTGTTTCCATTTTTTACTCCGTCTGACTATGGCGTATCTATGCATAAAAGACGCGAAGGTTTCATAGCAACCAGAACCATCCCATTAGAAAAGGAAACGAGAAAACACGTTTAGAATCCTGTAAACAGTGTCAGCGAATCCAATGCTTCCCCATGTAGGGCGAAAAAAAGCTGGAACAATTGGACAATCAACATACGCAAAGGAGTGAAGAACCATCTGTTCTTGCCACTCGTGTAGCGATCCTCCAAAGCCTTCTTCACTGTCTTCTTAGCCTCTTCTCGCTGTGACACTTCCTTGAATGTATCGTTTGTGACGGCACCCTTCAATCCCTCCAATTCGAGTGTGTAGCGGGTGGGCATCAGGTGGTTGTAGTTGACGGTCTTGATGAAAGGCTTGACCTTGCTGCGCTTGGCGACCGTCTTGGTACCCATTCGCTTGGTGACTTTGGAAGGGTATCGCTCAATACCGGCGACGAGGGCGTAGGGGAAGGGGTGGGCCTTCGAACCGGCATCGTATGGTTGGATGATCACGACCTGGAAGATTGCGAAAAGAAGATATCGTCAGCGCACTGTTGTCCCACTTCCCTCCTGTTCATCCTGTCCGCGTTTCTTCTGCCCGAATTCCGCGGGCGCATATTCTCCATTGTTCGAGTCCATTTCCTTCATTTTGCAACTCTTCGTCGGTTTCCCCACGCGCTCAAAAACATCGTATATCCCTCCTGGTATGATTTAACGAGAAAAACAGCTGTGTCGTACCTTCTTTCCGGCATATCGGCCTCTGGTGATAATGGCCACACGGCCAACCTTCATGACTAGAATAAGGTATAGTCAGCACAGCGCCATACTCAATGAGCGTCCGCCTCGAGGAGATCGACATACACTTCATTTTTCAAAAGGTCTGACCGGATGTCGGATGGCGTATGTTGAGAGAGCGTGTAACTTGTCGACTTTCCGCACGCCTGTTGAGTTCAACCACTTCAAATTTCGGGATCAAACAGTGCGAGTTTTTGGGCGGGTTGTGTGCCGTCTGCTGATTGGCCCGCTTATCGAGGAGTGCGCCATGCTATTTCCGGATAGATTCTCCGGGTCCGTCTAACGTAAGCACACCATCGCCCCGGCAACCGCGCCCACCACCAACGCATCCCTGTTTGTTTACTCGACGCGCCCAATGACGGGGTGTTGCGGTGCACCTTCCCTGTCTGTCACAGCTGGTTGTCGACTCAATTTCCCTTTGTGGTCTCTGTTGTGCGTGGGATTATTTATCACGGCGCTACTGACTCCTCCTCCCTTCCTGGTATCCCAACCCTCTTCCCGCTCAGAGCTCGACGCGGCTTCATACATCCATCTTCCACCGCTCTTCTCTGATCATGATAGTAGCTGCGTGATTTGAAAATTGTGGGCGTTTTGGTTTCATGTCATTGTTCTAACGATTTACGAAACCCTTTGAATAATTGTATTGCGAGCCTTTTCATTTTCTTCCTACACATATTCCACCATGGCCCCGAACGAACGAGAAGGCCATTCAGACCGCGAACTGGTCCTCAAGAGCCATCGACACCACAACTCCATCTCAGAAGCCGGCCGCCTCCATATCCCTATGTATGTGAGCCATAGTCCTGAGCCCGTTTGCTGTGCTCCTGCAAAGTCAATGTGAGACTGACCTGTGGATTATAGGTGGGATAGCGCCGACCCGGAGAGAGCACCTCCACCTCTACCGTTGAATCCAGGCTCTAACAGCCCCGCAACACGGGCAAATGCTTCCGCATCAATTCAGGCTGCTGCTGCTGCCCTGGTAGAGAAAAGTTATGAAAACACGCCGAGTTCATACACAGTGAACCCAATGCCGCTCAAACCTTCACCCGAAAAATCTCTTGTGAAGGGACAATATCACAAGCGGATGCAATCCTTGCAGAACACAACGACAAATAGCCGAGAATTCGCTTCCTATCTTGAGAGGAGGTCGCCAGAGAAGGCACATCGCGTCGGTGTCTATGAACCGGAGAATAAAACCCCAGAAAAAAGGCAAAGTCGAGCAAGTACATCTACTCCACCCGGACGTGAATCGCCAACTCATCGCCCATCGAGCCGTTATTTATCCAAGCCCATTCTCGGTGAGAATACGCCGCCATCTGCCACCATGCTTGCGCTTCAAAATATGCAAATCCCGATCGAAATCGATTTACCAGCAAGCGTCCTCTCCAGCAGCACAAACCAAGCTCCAAAACAACAACATCAACAGCATCAACAACATCAACAGCACCAGCAGCACCAGCAGCACCAGCAGCATCCGCAGAGTATCGAAGCCCTCTCCGCTCAGATTATCAGTTTGACTAGCATTGCAACGTCGTTGCAGCAGGAAATGGCACAACTAAGTCGCAGGAGCAAGGATAATGCTACCGATCTTGTCAGCCTTAAAGCTGCAACTAATGCACGAGATGAGGACATTCGAAAAAGCCTAAAAGAGCTGGCTACAAATTTGTCGTCTAAACTTCTCGAAGCAGAATCTAGTGTCCGCTCATATGCGCAACCTGGGAGCAGCCCGTTTATGATCGAAAATAAAGATACCTCTCCATGCTCCAGGAAGAGCTACACACTTCCACGCATTCCAAGTCCCAGCAGTTTCGCTGCAGCCATGGAACGAGAGTTGGCAGGGTCACCAGCAATCTCCACAGATGGCTCCGCGAGCATAGCGCTCCTGGAAAAGGTCCTAAGAGAAATGGCGACAAAGGAAGGCCAGGAACAGCTACTTCAACTTGTCGAAGGGATGAAGTCCAATCCTGCCGACAAAAATACAGATGGCCCAATGCTCAAAATGTTGGAGGAAATTTTGAATGTGGTTAAAGAAAGTCCAAACAGCCGTGCCCTTGTACGGTCGAAAGCGACCGGTAGTACTCCGTTTGATGGCTCCGGTGAAGTATCTGGCCAGTTTGCGAATACCCATGATAGAGGCGGTTCACCCCAACCGCCGAACGCTTTAGCAGAAGACGTGCTCGCTATCCTCAAACGTGTCAAAGCCAGCGTAACAGAAGGCGGAGGAATTACGAATGAGGTTAAAGCACTCGTTCGCGAGTTACGGGGTGAGGTCCTAGGGATGGGAAGGGACATTGCACGTAAACTCGAAGAAGCTGAAGCAAGACGAGATTCAAATGACGACGGGCCAGCCTTTCCTAGTAAGGAAGAGATTGAACAAATCGTTGAAGGCGGGCTCGTGGAATTAAGGCAGCAAATGCAGCAGGTGATTCACGAAAGTCAGCATCGACCAACACCACCTCCGGTGCAGTGCAGTCTTGATAACCAAGTAATTTATTCCACTTTGCAAAGAGCTCTCGAAGAGAGCCCTCTTGCAAATCGGCCGCCTCCAGAGCCTGCGAAAAATGGAATAGAGCGAGATGAAATCCTGGAGGCTGTGCGGGAGGCTTGGGAGACATATAAACCAGAAATTGAACTTCAAAATTTTGGTTTAGAACGAGACGAAATTTTGGAATGTCTGGCTGAGGGGTTGAAGGAATACCAACCTCAGAAAAACGATTTCGAATCCGGAGCCACCTACGAGCAAGTGGTCGAGGCGATCAACCAAGGCTTGCAGAATTTCGACCCTCCCCGCGTGGAGCCGGACGTTTCTTCGATTCGTGATGACCTCGTAAACGCCGTACGTGAATGCTTGGAAAGCTTTGAATGGCCGATCCCTCCTGCAGTTTTTGAAAGAGAGGCTTTATCCCGTGAAGATGTCATGAACGCTGTTAGAGAAGGGTTCGAAAGCCATGAACCAGCCCAGAAAGAACCGGAAATCAGCCGCGACGAAGTGTTTGAGGCTGTTAGGGCTGGCTTCCATGATGCTTCTAATTCGCTCGGTGATACTTTTGGCGGGCAAGTAGTGGAACACTTTCATGGAGTGGTCGCTGAAATGAGAGATGAATTTAAAGAATATTCGGCAGCAAGCGGCAGGGATACAGAGCAGGTTCTTGACGCAATCAAGGATGGGCTGGAAGCATTGCGGGGAGAAATAGAGTCATATGTTGACCGGGCGGCTGATGTTACAGGCAAAGACGAGATAATCGACACGGTGAAAGACGGCTTTAGGCTTTTGCAGGCGGACCTCGAAAAGACGATCGCTGATTCCCCCCCAAAACCGCCCCACTGATACCCTTGAACTGTTAGACGCCATGGAGAAAGAGTTTGAACATCTGCGTCAAACGCTGAGCAACCTACTCATCCGGAGTAACGTCTCGAACGACAAGGATGAGATTCTCGATGCGATCCGCGACATCACTGAAAGCGACGGCTTTAAAAATGGCAACTCTGAAGTCTCAGAAATGCTCAAAGAAGAGTTTGGACATTTACGCGAGACCTTGAGTATGGCCATTGTGAAGTCCAATCCAACAACTGAGAAAGAAGAAATCATATCAGCGCTCAGGGAAAGTTTCGAAGCGCTTCTTGATGAATATAGTCGCAAGCGAGACAATGAAAGTGTTCTCTCAAACACCAGTGAACTTCTCGACGCGTTCCATGATGGTGTTGACGCTCTCCGTTCCGATATGGACAAGATCCTGAACAAAGCGCCGGATACAAATGTGAATGATGAACTACTGCATACACTTAAGGAGGGCCTCGCGAGCGTCAAGGCTGAGATTGAGCAGCTCCGTGATTTCCAGAGAGAAGCCGACGAGTCGCATGCTACACGTGGCAAAGAATTGATGCTAGCGAACGAATCATCCATTGGAGCAGATATCGAAAGCTTGAAGGTTCTGGTCACCCAATTGCAAATTAAAGTAGAATCGATTGAACCGGTACCTGAAATTCCCGAAATCGACCCAAACATCGCCAAAAAGGAGGATCTGGAGGAAATGCTAGACGCAATCAAAGCAATGCAAGGCCTGGTTTCCGAGATCGGCTCTCGAGAGAATCCAATGGAAGGTACAGCAATGAAAGAAGATGTTGAAGCAGTCGGCTTGCTCGTCGATAACATCAAAGCACGCCTCGATGAGCTATCCGCTTCGACCAACGCTAGCTTTGTCACCGCTGAACGAGTGGAGGGTTTAGAAGTACTGACTAAGGAGATGAAGGACCTTATCAGTGGCTTTGTTGCTCATGTGGAAACAGAGGCGCCAACCAAAGGTGATGTTTCGAACCTCGAGACCGTCCTTAAAGATGTCTGGGCAGCAGTTGAAGATCTTAAAACCACAGTATCCAAAGACCCCGAAGACGATCCAGAAAAAATAGTGAAGGAGGACTTCCGGAATGTCGAAGGTTTGCTTTTCGAGATCAAATCTCAACTCGATGAATTTGTCCTTCCCGACGTTCAAACTCTACCTACCAAGGATGATTTTGGGCTGCTCACGACCTTGGTCAACGAGTTCAAAGAAAAAATGGAAACGGAGAACGAACTTACGGCCCAAGCTTTCGAGGCTCGGAAGATAGAACACGGCGGTCTTGCGGAGAAGATAGAAGATGCCAAAGCGTTGATAAGTGGTCTCCGGGACGAAATCAAGGAAAAACTCATGGAAAGCGATGAAGGCCTGAATGACCTCAAAACTATGGTCTTGAGCTTCAATGATGCTGCAGAAAATCTAGCAAAGGCAGAGAGTATAAAGGAACTTTCTGACCTGGTAAGTCGCGAATTCGAACGCTCTCACGGCGACCGCGAAGCTGCCAAGATGGAGAAAGAGGAGAAGCATTCCGAGGTCCTGGCGAAGCAAGAAGAAGGCAAGGATGCTATTCTGTCGGAATTGGGCGCCAGAGTAGACGAGAAATTCAACGAGATCATCTCGAAGTATGAAAGCGCCCAGATCACTTTAGAGTCTAAGTTTACTGCGGCCGAAGAGAGGGATGTACAGTCCTTAGAAACAATGACCAGCACAAAGAGCCTTGCAGAGGATATCAAAATGGTAATCGGCGGTATGGGTGAGAATCTGGCAGAAGCCTGCGATAGGATGAGCGATGACGCGAAAACGTTTTTCGAACGGGTCGACCAGTCATTTGTAAAGGTGGATGAGATGCATGCTGACGTTAAGACACAGCATGACGACATGAAGAGCCAATTTGAGAAGGCTCTAGCAGCAACAGACCGGTTGGAACGTCACATTGCGGATTCGCATCCCGAAATCCTCAGCTCTGTCAAGGAAATTTTAGCAATCGTTGGCCAACATTACGAACATTCGCGTAAGATGACGGAGGAGCTCAAAACTGACCTCACTGCGCTTCCACTGGCAATCCCACCGCTTCTTCCTCAGCTGGCATTGCCTGCTCCCGAAGAACCCAAAGAGGAACCGGTGTACGAGAAGTATGACGATTCTGGAGTACATGAGAAATTGGACAGCATTCTGAGCAAAGAGCTACCAGTGTATGAAAAGTATGACGACTCCAAGGTGCACGAGAAGTTGGACAATATTCTCAGCAAAGAACTGCCGGAATACGAAAAGTACGACGATACTCAGTTACATGAAAAACTGGACGCGCTCTTGCTTAAAGAAATACCCGAGCCCGAGAAGTACGATGACTTTCAGGTACAAGAAAAGTTGGATGCGCTCCTGCTTAAAGAAACCCCTGAACCAGAAAAATATGACGATTCTCAAACGCAAGAGAAGCTGGATACATTGTTGAAAGAGACCAGCGCAACCAATGAATCCATTTCCCGGATCGACAAACTTGATGAAATCCACGAGAGACTTGCGAGTATGGCAAAGGAAGTCAGTGAGCTAATGGCTACCCAGACTAAGATAGTGACAGAGGACCACGACAATAAGCAGAAAGAGGCGATGGAAACGGCCATTGCCCTGGAAAAGAGACTGGCTCAGAAAGAAAAGGTTGAAGCAGAAGTGGTCGCGTTAAATGAAGAAAAGGAGAGGCTGCTTGAATCGGTTCGCTCGCTGAGGGGAGATAATGACGACCTTTCGAAGCAACACGTCAAACTATCCAAAGAAGTCGCAGGGTTGGAGACGGCGTTACGTATCCGCCGCGAGGAAGTACAGCTCATGGAGAGTCGAGCCGAAGACCTTGAACGTCGAATCGTCGAAGGGGTTTTAGACCACGCACGCAGCCAGCTTCTTAGTCGATCTCCTGCCGGGGACGGTGTCGGTCCGAAGCGCGTTCCGAGCTCCGCTAGCACTGTAACCCGGAAGAGCGTCACTAGTACTACTAAAGATAGTGGCATTCTCGGGAATGGTGTCAACGTGGCCTTGAAAAGACGGACCGCGATGAGGTCAAACATGTCGTCCACCCAGTCCTCAAATCCTGGAAATTCAAGACGAATACTAAGTCTTAGCCATGTCACGGGCAATCGTGGGGTGAAGGACCGGCAGTCCGTAATTCAACCCAGCAATGGCGGTTTGACTAATTTAAAACGAAGCCAGTCCGTCAAATCCAACTTCGCTTTCCGGAAGGCGTCGTGGGATACTCGAAGCCTGATGGAAAACAAAGAAAACGAGATTGTGAAGGAGGAAGATGAAAACTCCGTCTCCACTGAAACGCGCACGACTGGAACAGAGCGAAGGACCAGCTACACGGGCACGT